CAGCCCTATCTGACTTTAGTCTTCACTTGGAATGGATCTGTGAGCTGCCCTCCATACACAACTTCGCGGTGCAGTCCGTCGTTTGAATTCCGTATGATACTTACGATCTTCTCAGGTGCACCGTAGTGTCGAAGACAGTTCTGTAAGATCCAAACCTAGTTCCAACTAGGTTCGGCTTGCTGAATAACTGGCAAGTAAAAGTGAAGAAACTCGCAAACCCCAGTCGAAATCAGAACAAGATGATTGGGATAATAACGATTCTAAACAAATATTACCACGCAGTTATTCAACCAACAATTGATCCCAAATTAATCAATCGAATACACCAAAAAGTAAGTGTTATTCTGTTCTTTCTGGGTAGATCAAGTAAGATTCATTTTTAGCGGCCGTTCTATAACACAAAGTGTTTCAAATTCTCGGAAAGTGCTCCAATTTACAACCAAATTGCACGATCCCTGTCAAAATCAACCCACAACCAAAGAGCGAACAGTCAATATGGCAGCCGCCAGAATAATAACAATTAGAACAAATTAAGTACAGATCCATAAAAAACATAAAAACTCAATGAAAACGGAAGGAAAACCTAGAAATGATTATAAATTTAAACATTACAATCTCAATTGGCAACAAAAAAGTTAACAATACATACAAATAAAGAAACCATAAAGAAGAAATTGCGAATGTATATATGGGGGGATTTTCACCTTCAAAATGTATCTTACAAGTTCCATAAGGTTCTTATATCCACACCGTCAAACAATTGCTCATAGTCAATGAAGTTGACGTATAGTGACGAGTTCCATTCAACTGGTTGTTCAACGATGATCCATAGTACTGAAATTCGGTCTGTGCACGACCGATCCCTACGGAATCAGGATTGTTGACCTCGAAGTTGGGAGTCTACTGAATCTTTCACCCGGTTCAGCAACAGTCTGTTGAAACTTTCCCTGGTACTGATAGTAGTGTGATGCCTCTGTAGTCCTCACATTTGCTCAGATCTCCTTTCGTTGGTATCTTGATGAGATATCCTTCTTTCCAGTCTGTCGGCACTTGTTCTTGCCCCCAAATCTTGCTGAATAGAATGTGGAGCATGTTTGCAGTTGCTTCTATGTCTGACTTCAGTGCTTCGGTTGGTATATTGTCAGATCCTGCTGCCTTCCCACTCTTGACTTGTCTGATGACCATCCTGATTTCTTCGATCGTTGGTAAAGTGACATCTATAGGAAGGTCTGTAGGTGCTGCCTCAATGTCTCGTGGATTCGATGGAGCTGGCCTATTCAAGAGTTCCTCGAAGCATTCTACCCATCTGTTCCTCTGCTATTGAATGCCTGCCCTTGTTTACTATGCTTTCCCGCTGGTTTCTCCGTTGAATCATGTAGTTGTCGCATATTTCCTTCTCTTGCAGCTTTTTCCACTGTCACTGCTAGGTCTTCCACGTATTTCTGCTCGTCAGCTCTAATGCTCCTGTACGCTCTCTTCTTTGTTTCTGTGTGTTCGGTCTGTGTCTTGACTTTCTCTGTTCTTGTTCAGCTGTTGTCAATAGCTGTCTTCTTGTTCTTCCTTTCTTGAATCCTGTCCAGCGTACCGATGGAGATCCATTCCTCATGATGATGCTCCTTGCGGCCCAACACCTCCTGACACGTTGAAGTTAATGCTTCTTTGGTCACATTCCAGTTGTCCTCCATCGTAGTTTCTTCTTCTTTCAGTACATTCCGTAAGGTTTGGAACCTACTGCTCAAAGTTATCTTCAATTCATTGAGTTTGTCAGTATCTTGCAGGAAGGCTGTATTGAAACTTTGTACTGCTGTGTCTCCAGTTGTCCAGTGTTTCTTTAGCTTCGTTTTCACCTTGGCAATCACCAGGTCGTGATCTGAAAACATGTCAGCTCTTCTCTTGGTTCGCACGACTTCCATTGACCTTCTGAATTTTTTAGTGATACAAATATGATCGATCTGGTTCTTTGTAGAGTGATCCGGTGAGACCCATGTCGATTTGTGCATGCTTTTGTTAGGGAATATTGTACCGTCAGGTCCTTTCCTAGGCACTTTTCTAGAACGGACTTCAGCACCACAAAACTAATATGTGTCATTTTCGCTGCCATCGTTGGTGAGTGCATAGCGATGGATGATATTCACTGCAATACCCTCCATCTTTGTTTTGAATAATGCTTTGATAATTTTGGATCCATGAGGTTCTAATCTTGTACATGCTTCTTTGGACACCACCTCTCCCGAAGCTAATCTTTACTGTTCAGCTTGGATCGAAAGGGTTTCACTTATTCCGAGCACCACTAATTTGTATCTCCTCATTTCCGTGAACATTCCATGTACCTATATTAATTGTTGCTCTGGTTGTTAGAAGTGGAATTGGCCTCGTGATTTCTGGAGAATCTCAGCTTTCTCCATGACGCGTCATAATTCTTCGAAATGAAGATCCTTCAATTCTCAAGGAACAGTTGAAATGGTTTTATTTTTTTATTCTTGTTAACGCATTTGCAGAATATTTGTGTTCTATAGGGTGGGTATTCAGGCGTTGGAAGTGCTGCAAGTGATTTTTATTACTACACACAGTACGTTATCGGTCGAAGACGCTCTTCAGCCCGATATTAACCTGTTAACCTTATGCTCACTGGGTGTCACCACTTGATCTAAGCGATTTAAATCTATTGACTTATTTAGGTTGATAGTTTTCGGCTCCTAACTATTTCCAGGGAGCTTGACGCCCAGCCACACTTTTCAAACCCTGATAAATCGACCGAGTTCAGCGTCTAGTTTATTTTCAAACCACTTTTTCTACTGTGTTCTAAGGGCTCCCTGACACTTGGAAGTTCTCTCAAATTTTCAGTTGCTGTTGAATGTCGCGAGTGAGAAATCGATTTCTAAAATAATTTTAGTGTCTGAAGATTTGGTACAGAAACCGGGATTCGGGTGACAAAATAAAAGTCTGAGATTAGAACTTAGGTGGCACATACATTGTGAAATGGAATTTATTGTACTAGGGAGTTCTCTGCTCCACTTGTAATAATGTTTGTTTCTAAACGCACAACCCTTGAAAATGAACGTATAATAAGTATCAAGGAACTTTTCGAGGGCCCAGCTATACTCGCACACCAGGACTTCGAAGCACCTATTATTATCGTGGCAGAGTTCCCGTACGGAACACCTGTCCATATGTTGTGCTGTACGGCCGCTGGGAAAATATCACGATAAACTGACACTCTTCCACTCGTGTTACTCGAAATTCACAATGCATTGAAAGGTGACATTAGGATACATGGCAGTTCAACTCGTTTACGGAAAGACACCCCAACTTCCAGGAGAATTCGTGGGCCACTCACCTTCAATGAATATGGAATAAAACTCCTAAACAAGCAGGGTTACAAATGCCATACGTTCAACTAAACCTGTTTCCACTTGGCCGCAGTCAACTGACGTTTTCTTTCAGTTTGCTCTTCGATATAGTACACACGTTTTTGTGACTCATTACGAGGACCTCTCGAAATAGCTTACGAATGACCTTTCAAAGTCCTTCAGCGTAAAACTAGGTACTATATCATCAATAAAAAGGAAATAATGATAGCATCAGCATCAATCGTCTTAAAGCCGTGTATTTAGAAGCAGACCCTAATAATGTTGACTTCCCTCCAGTACATTTGAATGACACAAGCCCCACAATTACAATATCCCATTCGATAATCAACAGTCACGAAGAAGCTTGGGTGGCATGTGACAGCCGACTCAAAGCAACGCGTTTCGGAAGACGAGTAAGATTTCCGGAACACTTAAACGATCACTGAACGTAAAACACAACACTACAGTTTGTTTCGTCTCGTTATTTTTTGTATCAGTGTATCAAAACACAAACCAAGGACCAGATCTTTTCTGTTGATATGCCCATATGCATGTGAGCATATGTACATCTTTTCCGAAAAAAACAAAAAAAATCATCCTGCGAAATTTTTTTCTATGCTATCTCATGTTATCAAAACGCATGTATACAAGTTTGTTTCCCCTTTTTCTCCAGTTTTGTATCCTCACGTATGAGTATATTTCGACACGCACTTGCATTTCCTTTTTTTCTTTTCCAGGACGGTGGGAAGAGATGAAAAGGCCGATGAAGTTTACGAGAAATCGAAAATTTCATTGCTATTTTGTACCACATGACCCCTTATATTACGAAAAGACAACCAGATGCTGCTGAACATAGCAAGCTATCAGGAGATTGTTCACTAACGACAAGCTCATTGGGTTTAAACTTCTGGATGGCAACGTCTTAAGGTAATCACTACCCCATTAAGGAGGGAATGGGCTGTAGCGGTAAACAAATCCCCAAAATAAATCGTTCTGTAAGTCTCCGACATTTGATGCTGATCACACTAGTTTTGCTGGACAAACGGTACTTGAAGCGCTTGGTCACGCGCTTACACCAGATCACTAGTGGGTACGCCGTGTTGCGCGTCTCCTACAACCGTCAACCAGCTTAGATTAAACGCATCTCGACATATCGATAGCCTTTCAAGTATAACTTCGTATCCCTTCTCTTCTGACTTCTGATCTGACTGGGTTGGAACACTTCGATTGTGAAGGCACAACTGGCAAAGGCGTTGTAGATCATAAACCCAACTGCCAGATGATTTGGCTAGGGCTCAGTGACATTTCACTGGACCTACAGAGTTGTCAGACTCTGAATACCTGTGGCATCTTTATATCCAAATATTCACTCACAGACTCCATCACGATGCCAATATGATAATTAGAAGTATTCGGGTTGATGTACGCTCTTACTGCCCTAGAATAAACACAATAGCACTAAAGAAAATATTCACCTTAATTAATTATCAAATACCCTAGTATCAGTGCGTCTGTACAAATATAATACTCAAATTAAACGAAAATATGAACTTGAAACCACACCCGAAGATCAAGAAGAGACAGATCACTTTATACATGTTCTCCCCGAAGATATTGTTTGTTGAATTACCTTGTGTTGGACATCATGGTATGACCTCAGATAGCAAGACGATGTTTGCGCTACATCGTCTTACTTCGTTATTTGCTTTCAGGAGATATTTCCAAGCTTTTTACAGAGCCAGAAGTTTATCGTTGGAAACCCCAAACTTAGGCAAGATCAATTCTGTCAAGAATTACCTGAAAAATATTGAGAAAAACGGTATGCTTTCAATATAACTCACTATAGTGAATTTTAGAAATGGCACTTAGTATCGAAAAGAAAGAATATGAGAGTGGTAGAAAGTTCCTGGCTCAAATTATGGGTTATGACCCTGTCCATTTCACACCTGAACAGGTTAATGAGGCTATTGAGTATCTTCTTCCGTCTTCGTTGTTTACTAAACGTGCTCGTCCTGTCTTCAAAGTAAATATACGTTTATCTAATTTTAAAAATTGTAGGAACCACACCTAGTGTTTCCTCCGCAAAAACGTTAGTTATCAGCGCGTTTATGATATTCGTTTAGAATTGCAGTGCGATATAAATGGCAGACCAGTTAATAGCTATTTTTACACAACACACCAAAACTTTTACAAAATCATGAACGTAAGAATAAATCTCTGGTAACAACACTCTTAGGAGGCAACTTACAAACTAGAAGAGATTAAACATCATGCTGATCAGTCGTATTTTGACAGGACGACCATTAAGCCCACATTGAAAGAAGTCCAGTACGTCAAAAATGCTTTTCTAATTATTGGGTCACAGTATGTATACTTCGTGAAATAGTTTCACATCTATCTAGTTTTTTATTTGAATATTTTAGTGCCATTGGATGTACTCCCACTTATATTTTTAATTTAATTTTCAGATATTGAGGTTTGAGACCATCTCAGCCCTTTATACCATTAATGCAACTTTTTGGCGTATGTCACCAAAAGGTGTTAAGACAACTTGCAAATATTTCGCTTTCATGTGTACGTACTATAATGAATTTTTAATTCTTCCCAGTGCCTATCAGTTTAGCCAAAATGGCTTACTTAAGTGACGAAGTTGATGTAACAATAGGATTCGACGTTACTTTTTATTTATTTCAACACATATATTGTTACAAACGGGCATCAAATGCATATGCGCCACACAGTGACAATGAAAATGTTAAGAGATAGAGAATGTAAAGCACGAATAAGAAAAAAGAAAACAATAAAGAGCAGAAATCAGTGTATGATAGTGAAACAATGATAATAATGGAATAGCTCAGTTAGCAAAGGTACGACCATAAATAACTCTTCCAGTTAAAGAAGTTATAACCACTTCTTATGAAAAAAGTAAAATAAAGTTACAGCAGGATCGCCACTGACTTCTATTCTGAGCCATGTCTAGTAAAGTCTCTAGCCACTGTTGCACCATCTCTCGGACCCCAACCAGGAAGTCGGGAAGGAGCAACAGAAGTCAGCCCTTTGTAGCTTTCTTTCATATCACGACACCATGTCATACACTGACCACCTCTCCGCCTTTTACAACCAGTCCCAGAGTCGGCAAATAATGCACGACGTGGACTTCTCTGAGACGACATTCGTAGAACATGTCCAATCCACCGAAGTCGATGTTTCAAGATGGTGACACCAATTGGATTATCGTCTCTGTGCCCGAACACTCGATGCCGAACCTCTGCATTACTAACATGGTGTTGCCACTGGATGTCAGCAATCCTTCGGAGACAACGATGATCAAACTCAGAGAGGCGTCTAACATCCTCAACTCGGAGTGGTTAGGTTTCACAAGCATAGAGCAAAACTGCTCTCACCGACGCGTTGTAGACCCGACCGTTTACAGCCAGACTAACATCACGAAGGCGCCTAAGGTGGCCCAGATTGGCATAAGCCGCTCTGGCTTTCATTATACGTGAATCCATCTCATCACTCACGCCACCACCAGCACCTGTGCAGCTACCTAGATACTCGAACTTCTCGACTACTGCAATCTGCTCACCACCCATGGTGAGTACAGGCTTAGAATCCTGCCAGTGTTGTAGAAGTACTTTGCACTTCGAAGGTGCAAGTCATATACCGTACCTATGGACACTGATTGCCAACTGATTAGGTGCGGATCGCATGGCTTGGGCATTATCGCACAGTAAGACAATATCATCCGCATACTCAAGGTCGAGGTCTTTCTTCAGGCAACAGATCCACACCGTCATTACTTATATCCATCAGAGCTGTTTCCAGAACGTCATCGTTAGCAAAATTAAAGAGGAATGGTGAAATTGACCAACCCTGTCTAACCCCACTGCTTGAATGGAACAATGGTGAGGGGTGGTTGTATGCCTTCACTTTGCTTGAGTTGTTTGTATATAGGGCTTTTAAGATGTTAATAGGCTTCTCAGGCACACCCTTCTTCAATAGACGATCCCAGAGAACAGTCTTATCCAACGAATCGAAAGTGTCCCAAATGCCCTTGTACGGCGGAGAGTGGGAAGAGTCCGCTCTTCCTCTCGAAATGCTCTCACATGTTCACGCGTACATAGCGTCTGCCAGGGAAGTGCTACTCACTGCCTTCTCGTGGCGGGGATGCTGTTTACGAAAGTGAGAGGACGAAAAGTGAATGTCCAGCGCTTTAATCGGACCAGTGGACACGTTGAGTCCACCTATGGGAGTTGAAAAACCCTGATTCCAAACCAATGGTGCACATGGGCTCCAGTATCCCGAGGGAACAAGTGACGTGTAAACCAATTGTTGGTCACCGGCTACCATGGGACTGTATCTCCTAACAATGTTCCACTGTCTTGTGGATCAGATCTTTAGGTCAAAGGCTTCGGTTGTGGTCCTCTAAGAAAACCACCTGCTTCAGTTTGGGCACCTGGGCAGTATCAGAGCCCTCACACAAATCGAATGAGATTTGAGAGGCGCATATGTATCTGGTTCTCCCTTGTACCAATATTTATGTGTTTAAATAATAATAATAAAATAACGTAGAGGGATTAGTCTGACTAACATAGCATCTAAAATACTTGCCTCAATAATTATCAGGCGCCTAACTAAGAATCGTGAACTGCAAACACGAGAAAATCAGGCTGGCTTCAGACCTGGTCGTGGCTGTATCGACCACATATTCACCATTCGTCAAGTTTTAGAGCACAGACACGCTTATCGGCGTCCGACAATGATAGTTTTTCTTGACTTGAAAGCAGCATTTGACTCTGTAGACCGAGAGGTTCTATGGCAGTGTCTGTCATTGAAAGGTGTACCTGAGAAGTACATAAACCTTGTGAAGGCTCTTTACTCAAACACTACCAGTTGAGTGAGGGCTTATGGCGAACTGTCATATGATTTTACAACCTCAAGTGGTGTCCGTCAAGGTTGTCCACTATCCCCATTTTTGTTTAACTTCATCATAGACCTATTGCTGGAAATAACACTCTCGTCGACTGAATTTTCAGGAATTGATCTTCTACCAGGGGCTCCACTAAGCGACTTAGAATACGCAGATGACATAGTCCTGTTTGGTGAAGACGTTGACAAAATGCAGAGTCTTCTGTTGGAACTGAGTAATAATGCCAGGATGTTTGGGATGCGTTTCTCCCCATCCAAATGTAAATTGTTACTCCAGGACTGGCCTGCGTCAACACTCGAACTAAGGATAGGGAGTGAAGTAGTCGAACGCGTTGACAACTTCACTTATCTTGGAAGTCTGATCAGCCCTAATGGGTTGGTGTCTGACGAAATCTCAGCACGGATTCAAAAAGCTCGTTTGGCTTTTGCCAACTTACGTCACCTATGGCGAAGACGAGATATCCGTCTATCAATTAAGGGACGAGTATACTGAACAGCAGTTCGCTCTGTTCCACTTTACGGCTGTGAATCATGGCCATTAAGAGTAGAAAATACTCATAATCTACTAGTATTTGGCCACAAATGCCCCAGAAATATTGCTCGCATCTGCTGGGATCACCGGGTAAGTAATAGTGAGGTTAGACGCAAGGTATTAGGGAATGGTTGTAAATCAGTTGATGAGGTGATGAATCTTCATCGACTGAGATGGTTGGACCACGTGTTACGTATGCCTGAACAACGGTTACCACGACGCGCTTTGCTGAATAGTGTTGGGAATGGTTGGAAGAGAGTTAGGGGCGGCCAAACCAAAACATGGCATCAGTGCTTGAAGTCACTAACTTCTAGTCTGAGCCATGTCGGTAGATGCAGACTACTTGGTTGGGGTCCGCGTGACTATCATAACCAATGGTTGGAGAGTCTGTGTGACATGGCTCAGAATTGATCACAATGGCACAGGTGTATACATTCTTTGTCTTCCCTTAAGTCGTGAGATAAAAATTGCTTCATATCTGTCTTTCTTCCTGTACTATATCCTTATATACCATCTTTCTTTTATATTACCACCAGTAAATTAGCTACTTCTGTGAATTATGTGTTCATCTTGTTGTGCTAATGAGGTATGACAACTTAAACCGATGCATATGTGTGTCTGGTCCTACGTTGTAGCTGACTGACTGACATCCTTGAGTAGAACGAAAACCAGCTTGCTCCTCACGAGTCAATCTTAATGTGGTATTAAACAGTCTACGAAGTATGACAGAAGTCAATATTTTGGACGCAGTCGAAAGTAGACTCATCCCCCGCTAATTGTTACAGCGACGACGTGAAACCTTTTTAGAGATAGGAACGATTATCGATTTGTTCCACAACTTTGGAACAATCTCCAGCCCCCAGAACTTTGTAAACAACTCAGTCAACTCCTTAGCCAGAAAGTCACCACCGTCTTTAAAAAGAGCCAGTGATAAGACGACTGGGCCCGGTGATTTGTAGCGCTTCAAGGGTCGGAGTTCTTTGCGGACTTCCGCCTCATTTGGTGGATCGGTCGTTACAGGACAATCTGATCGATGTCGCCGGAGCAGCAGGTCAGTCAAATTGTTCTTCAAAGAATTTTGCCCATTGATCAAGATGCCAATGGATGTTAGTGATTGGCATACCGTCATCTTCACAGATTGTTTCGCTCGCACCAGACGTCTTGCTGCCAGTGGCTTGGATAAGTTGAAGGAGCTTTCTTAAGTTACCAGATACAGCTGCTGCTTCCATCTCATTTGCATGCTCCGATCACCAGGCTTTTCGGTCCTTACTCAACCTTTGCCTAATTTCGTTACGTAACAGTCGTCGTTTGTGGTCAAACTCGCGGTCAATCGGAGTAGACCGACGGGCTTCAGTGAGTTGTAAGGAGCCTGAAGAAATCCAGTGCTTATAAGCGGGACGTTTCGCGAAGCCGCAAGTGACTTTACTCGCCATTTTCATGGCGCCATGCAATCGCAACCAATGCTTATCTATACTTTTCGGTGGAATGGTAGCTAACCTTGAATGTAGCTCGGTTTGATATTTAGTTGCAATAGAAGCTTCAACCAATCTATTGAAATCGATCCGTTTAGGACGATGAATTTACCGGTCACTGAAACGTAAAGCGAGATTAACGTAAGCAAGGTCATGATCAGAGTCCAGATAGGTACTCACAAAGGAGCGGCAGTCTTGTAAGCAACAACGCCAGCGGCAGCTGATCGCAAAACCAGAGGAAGATGCTACAAGGTACCCGGATAAATGCACGTAAGACGAATTTTTTGAAGCGACAGATGGATATCAAACTTGTAGTACTTTACTAGAGTCTTGAATATGTGTCTCGTATAGACAACAGACATCGATTTTGAGACTATCTATCTATAGCCAACTCTATCTGTTGTCCGATCTGCATTAGTGTGCGAACATTAAAGGAAGCCAGTTTGAATGGCATACGTGGTTTCAGAAAGACTTTCAGTGTTTGTATTCGGTGGCAGCATTCAACTTTCGACCAGTCAGTGACTCGAGATCTTTTAGATAGAACAGGGTTCCCACCACAGGCGACCTGCTGTATAAGTTGGAAAATAAGAATATGCAAAAGTGAGAATAGAAAAGAGTAGATAAGTGATGTAGTATATAAAAAAGCAAAAATGAATGTGAATTGTCCGAATTTTAATTGAAGCTATAATAGTATTTTCAATATTAATTGTCATTTTTTTTAATTTGTGTATGGGCTGTGATACTCCCCGAGTGCTCAGATCGAAGCAGGCGGTTTTCTTAGGGGGCCACACCCGGGGCCTTCGATCTAAAGATCTAATCCTTAAGGCCGTGAATCAGAGTTAGAGATTCAGTCCCGTGGTAACCGTTTACTAAAATAGGTTCATATGTCATTTGTTTCCTCAGGATCCTGGAGCCCATATATATCATTCGTTTGAGATCACGGTTTTCCAACTCCCCTAGGTGGACTCTCCGTACCCACCAGCCCAGGTGAAGCGCCAAACATTCGCTTTTCGTCCTCTCAATTTCGTAAACAACACCCTAGTCGTGAGAAAACACTGAGTAGGACTTCCCTGGCATTGGTTGTATGCACGTGGTCATATGAGAGCATTTTGAGAAGGAGGGCGGACTCTCTACATTCTCGGCCGTACCAGGGCATTTGGGGCAATGCGACGTTACAATGAAAATGAACTTAAGAATTTATAATGCACAGTCGTCAAATCTCTAATTACAACACAGTGCTCTCAGTTTACAATTTTAAACGTGGAGGACAGATCAAAGACGTACTACTTGTACGTTTCCATCTGTCATGTCCAGTCGATTGAACATATAGCAAGTTCTTTTCTAAGTCAATCACTTAATAATATCAAATAGTTCCGGACGGAATAGGAGAAGCTCTCGCTTGACCGGCTTCTGTAACTAGTATCAGTGGATCACCGATGCCTCCAGGTAAGTATATTTAACGACAAGAGAAATACTGGTACATTATAATGAGATACTGTCCCTAGTCCTTGAGAATATGTCAAGTTTTCTTTTAATGATCTGCTGGAAAGTCGCTTAGACTAGCTCAACCGGCAGCGAATTCCAACGTTTGATTACTCTTAAGGAGTAAGTGTGTCTACAGTTCGTTCTACTGTGTTGTGTTACCAGTTTCTGGGTGTTACTCCTAAGGTTTGTGTTGGGACTAAACTCAAGTAGGTATTTAAGGGGATGCCCACAAGTTTTTAGGATGCTACAATTCATTAGGTCACCTCTAAGACGCCTCGACTCTAATGGGTAAAGGTTCAGTGATTGAAGGCGCTCTTCACAAGACTTGAATTTGAGTCCACGAACTGATTTCGTGGCTCAATGTTGGATGGGTGAGGTGGAGTGAGGGAAGAAACACTTTCCGTGCTTTTAATGGAACGAATAAAACCGTTGAAGATTACGTGGAAAGTTCTCCCGTCAAGCTGGCCGTAAATGCGCTTCAACGTTACCAATGCAAGGTTTGCTGAAAATGCATTTTTGTCTCAGTTGGTGTAAGATTTCAAATCGTAGGACACCAACACTCCTAGACCTTTTTCAGCTTCGGATATCTCTAGAGGGGAGTTACCTAAGTTGTATTCGTAGTCTGCAACATTGTCTCAGATGGACTACTTTACACTTTGAAGTGTTAAAAGTAAATCTGTTGTCATCTGCCTATCTGTGAAGTCGAGTCAGATCATCCTGAAGTGTCGGTTTATCCTATTGGTTACATACTGCTCTCCAGAGTTTCACATCATCAGCGAAAAGTAATAAATCTGATGATACCTGCTATGGAAGATCGTTTATATAAATCAAGAAAAGGTCCGAATATTAAACCCTGGGGTACCCCACTAGGACATTCCGTAGCCTGAGAGAAAGTGAAGTCAACCTTGACCTTAAAATGTCGATTTTTTAAGATATAAAGTGAGCCAATTAATTAAAGGCGATTTGATACTTAATTTTTGAGCTTATTGATAAGACATACAGTTGACCCTATCAGAAACTTTTGAGAAGTCAAGGAAAATGACGTCAATCTCCTCCTTGCGACCAAGGATGGATGTACATCTGTCCACCGCAGTCAGCAGATCGATTTCACAAGAGTGACCTTTCCTGAAACCGTGCTGTTTGGGTGAAAGGAAGTAGTCACGTAGACCGTCCCATATCGGGGACTCCATATTTTTTGAGGGTATGAGCCAGTGCCTCGGTTTGGTGAATGTGAGAAAATCACGCTAAGCGGTGTAGCAAAGTTTAAAGCTGCCTCCCTCAGTATAACATATCCGGACCAAGATGTGTTTTTTATTAGATGCTGCAGTTTCCGGTAAACCACGTTATGATTGTGCTGAGCTTCATCATATCCTCATTAGTGTTGATGCATGTTCCATCGATACTGACGTTGTCGAAGACCCTCTTCTTTCCTTCACTACGCGTCTTTGTTGGTTAATCCGTTTTAGGACTGCCTTTTCTCAAGTTTGGTGACAACTTTTTTCACAAACCTGCCAAGAGAATGATGATTTTGCTCAGCAAATCCGACTTACTCTGTTGTTAGCAGTTACTGAGGGATCTGTGTTTTCCTTGTGGAACCAACCTTTGTAATTGTCACTCTGCATGTCAGAGGTGACAGCATACAGCATCCAAGTTGCTTGCATGACTATGGTGATGTGAATTGTTTGATAGGTCCTAGCAAAAGTTCACAACCGTAAAACAAAAAAGCAATACACGCAGAACATAAAATGAATAAAAACAGGTGGTACAAAAGGTAAGAATACACTAAAACTAGCCTTGAAGTGGAAAATTGAAAATCGAATAGTGAGCTGAGGCAAAACCACATTCAACTAATGACTTAGGTGAAACTGAGAAAGAAAGGTTATCTACCGGACGTTAAGCTCAGGAAAGATTCTTTGGATCAAAAGTGGTGCTTTTGTTGCGTAAAAACACAGCGAAGGTTTGAGAAATGCAAATCATTTTAAAATTGGACTTCCCATTCGTAAAGCCGTACCATCTTGTCATCAGATGCTACGCACAGATTGTGAGTATCAAATTAACCTCAAAGTCTAGCAAGCTTATTGAGTGGCCTTGAACAGTCAAATGGAAACTGGGTCCTGCGATTTGCAGACAGGAATTCATAAGTTATCTTTCCGTTGGTAACAAGCTTTTTCAAAAAAGCCAATGTCTTAATGGATAAATCACAATCCAACTTTAAAGACATCTCTGTCGTTTAAATCATCATTCAAAAATATTGGCAAATTCAGGCTCATAAAAAAACTATGCTGTTTACTTTCAAATACATTAATCGCAATTCAGAAATGACATGATAACCAAACTTCCATCTTTCCCATCGAAGCTTATTTCAAACATATCTATGGTGCTTAAAATTAAAGTTTTCTTTCGTGAGAAACGCTTGTTATTCCTCATCACAGACATTTCCTTCGAATTTCATGTCTTCAGCTTTCGGTAGTTACACGTTTATGATTTTTGCCATGGGTCACCATTTATTTGTGATGTGTACTTCTCGCAAAATACACTTACAGGGAACTGAAGTGTGATGTGTAAGTTGAGTCATAAGTTGCCAAGTATTCATTAAGGAAACCTATATGTTATGCCACCGATTCATATTGGTTACAGAATAATTGAGGTGCCAAAATTATGTGTTCACCAGTCATATTCCTTATGGATTGAGGATTTCATCTGAAAGTCACTTAAATGATAAAATAGGACAAATTTGAATAGATCATTCCATAAACCTATTATCTGTTAAATAGGGATATGTTGGATTGTGCAGAACTGCTTTGAATCTTCGATGTGATCATAATTTATTATTAGAGGAGTTAGATATAGCTCTAAGTTGATTTCAATGTGCCAGTTAGATCTCTTCATTTTAAATTAAGAAAAGATAGTAAATTCCATGATCAATTAAGACAAAGCTCAAATGAGACACTACATAAGCCTCAAGTTACGTCATAAGTGATTAGAGGCAATCATTTTCAACTGATAAACATCTGAGTTGAAATCATCCAGCGATCGTCCCTTTACAAACATCTTTTTACAATTTAATTGTACTTAAAATGTTTGACCTTAGTTATTTTTTGCTAATCAACTACCTAATTGTTTTTGCTTTCAGTTGTGCGACGTCAAGCGACTTTATGTCGAAAGTAAATCTCATGAAAATGATTAACGAAACTATATCGGATGCACAGGTATTGAGTTTTTGTCCAGATGTATTATGTTATAATTGTGATAGTATAAACAGTGGTTAGTCTTAATGAAGCGTTTATCAGAACACCCACTGTCGTATTTGGTCGAAGAATTTATTCAGCGTTTTAAAGCCCAAATATGCGGTCCTACTTCAGAGATTAAATTTCCCGAGGTTGTATTAATTATGTCAAACAATGTGACGTTTTAGCCATTTCTAGACTCAGTAACAAACAGAAAATGTGTGCAAGCATTTGGTCAAAAGAAAAACTCGTTTGCTGAAGTAACACTATACATGCCTGGTACTGGTGACGTCACAGTAAACGGAGCACGACTTCTAGAAGTATTTCCTGAGCTTGGAAATCGAGAACAAATAGTATTCCCTTTACAACAAACAAGTAAGTTTTTTTAATATTTTACTTCGGATTGTGTTTTTGAAGATCCAAATGATATATAATGGTGAATATAATAAAATTATTTAGGGAAATAAATCCTGTTTCCTTAACTACTTGCAGCCCTTGTACAACTACGTGTGGAAAAATACCGCTCCTCTTTAAATGCTCTCATATGGCCGTGTGTATATATTGTATATAGAGTATATATAGGGTATTCCTATTCTCTCAGCAACGTCTTGTTTAATTAATTGAGATGATGAACAGTCAGCGTCTGGTGCTTAAACCGGGATAGTGGGTACGGAGTATTCAGATTAGGAGGACTAATAATGCCTGATTCCAAACCAATAGTGCACTTAAGCTCCAGGATTCTGAGGGATGAAACGGCGTGTGAACCTATTGTTGGTCACCGGCTACCATGTAACTGCATCTCCTGACGTTGTTACACTGTCTTGTGGACTAGAATTCTAGGTTAAGGGTTTGGAGAGGCTCCATATGAAAACCATGTGTTTGGGTTTGAGCATCCGGGCAGTATCCTAACTCACAAACAAATTAAATGGTGATTACAACCGAAAAAAATATCGCATCCGCAAATAATATCCACAATTACTTGGTAACAGTCATTTTCACTCGACATCGTGTCACTTGTCTATTCTATTTTATTCCCATTTTGTGTATTCTTTTATTTTCCAACTGGCACAGAACCAAACCTGTGACAGAAATTCTGTCCTATGTAAGCGACCCCGAGTCACTGACTAGACGAAAGTTGAATGTGTATAAGACTCCTCCTTTTTGAGTGTTTAAGTGTGCTCTGATTGAGCTCTTGTTTGAGCTAATATGATCTTACGTTTTAGTGGCCAACAGGTTCATAGTCCTAAGCGGACTGATGTAAGCAATTTGACTGCAGCTTCAATTGTAACCACTTATCAAACTGAGCTAGGTTTGATACTACCTCCTAACCCATCGAAAACGATAAATGTTCACTGGCTACATTTGCAGGATGTGATGAAAGTGGCGTCTGCATCCCTTCTAGGATTAATGCCAGTCCCAATCCCGGATAAGGGAAGAGGTCGGGCGCAAAGTCAACAACCTCATCATATGGGAAACGACTTTGACGAAGCAACGCTAACCAGAAAAAACTATTTAAACTCTCCCTTGGGAGTTGAGGGATATTCATTTCGAAGAATTATGACGCGTCATGGAGAAAGCTGAGATTCTCCAGAAATCACGAGGCCAATTCCACTTCTAACAACCAGAGCAACAATTAATATAGGTACATGGAATGTTCGCCAATGTGGGAGACCGGGAGGATCAGTTGAATGGCTACGGAAATGAGGAGATACAAATTAGTGGTGCTCGGAATAAGTGAAACCCTTTCGATCCAAGCTGAACAGTAAAGATTAGCTTCGGGAGAGGTGGTGTCCAAAGAAGCATGTACAAGATTAGAACCTCATGGATCCAAAATTATCAAAGCATTATTCAAAACAAAGATGGAGGGTATTACAGTGAATATCATCCATCGCTATGCACTCACCAACGATGGCAGCGAAAATGACACATATTAGTTTTGTGGTGCTGAAGTCCGTTCTAGAAAAGTGCCTAGGAAAGGACCTGACGGTACAATATTCCCTAACAAAAGCATGCACAAAGCGAAATGGGTCTCACCGGATCACTCTACAAAGAACCAGATCGATCATATTTGTATCACTAAAAAATTCAGAAGGTCAATGGAAGTCGTGAGAACCAAGAGAGGAGCTGACATGTTTTCAGATCACGACCTGGTGATTGCCAAGGTGAAAACGAAGCTAAAGAAACACTGGACAACTGGAGACACAGCAGTACAAAGTTTCAATACAGCCTTCCTGCAAGATACTGACAAACTCAATGAATTGAAGATAACTTTGAGCAGTAGGTTCCAAACCTTACGGAATGTACTGAAAGAAGAAGAAACTACGATGGAGGACAACTGGAATGTGACCAAAGAAGCTGTTATGTCTTGTAGGTTGAACGCTATATTCAGATCCTAAGCTATTCTGATAACCCCAGGCTAGAACTATCCAGCGACCTAAAGACCAAAGAGAGAAGACACGAGTATGAGAGATGTACTTCACTACAAAATTCATTTATGTACAGAAAAACAGGGGTTTTATAGTAATTAAAAGACCTTGAGTTCCCATAGTAGCAGTGTGTTAAACAACCAATCAGGACCTCGTTATTTTAGTAGCATAGCTTCTAACTAATCGCTGATTGGCTGGGGCTCTTTATGAGCCTCTGGAGGCTCTGCTAGAGTTCACTTCACTTGTGGGGCATCCTCACAGAAGCATTAACTTCAACGTGTCCGGAGGTGCTGGGCCGCAAGGAGCATCATCATAAGGAATGGATCTCCATCGGGTCATTGGACAGGATTCAAGAAAGGAAGAACGAAAAGACAGCTATTGACAACAGCTGAACAAGAACAGAGAATGTCAAGGCACAGCCCGAACACATAGAAACAAAGAAGAGAGTGTGCAAAAGTGTTATGTAGTAGCGAAGACATAAGTACGGGTAACTTGCAGGACCTACTATTGGACTATCATTCTTATTGTATAACTATTCGGTAACTAGATTATCTATATCTATATTCATCTTATTGTAAGCTTCATTTTGACCTATTGATTATTACTATATGATTTACTGTCCCTATGTTATACTCAGTTTATTGATTATTGTCTCCCACGCTTACAGCCTCATTTGGCTTGGTTTTGTACAAATATTATTTTCTATTTTATGGTATGATGTGGCCTGTCTGTCTGATATATAAACAAAGTATGCTTGAAATAAACGATTCGTATTGCCGAGGCTGTTATTGGTGTTTTGGACTCAAGTGGACGGGTTGGGCGGATAAGGGCCAATAAGGACGCTAGATTACTCATACTAATCGAACGTCATTGTCACAGTGTGAAGGTCGTAGAAGGCGTATTCTATTGGTGGATAATTTACGCGAATTACGTCCTTGTTAAATTCGTAAGGTCATAACGAATCAGCGACGACCTAGGTCAAGTCATAACAATTGGCGACGGGGATGGGATAAAGTGATTAGTGTTCCAGTTGTCTTTGTCTTCTCTCTCTCGCGCGTGCTTGCCAGCCAATCAGGGATAGAATAGTTTTCGTCTCTCTACCCCTATTTCGAACTCACGCATATTGGCCTCAAGGTTAAGCCAGTCAGCCTATCGTGTCAAGGTCTTAATCTACATTGTACTCGGCACTAAGTGGGTAGACAGATTCAAGGACGTAACAAAAGTGGCGACGGAGGTTTTTAAAAAATATATTGATTGATCCAAATCAAAATGTCTGTTTCTTTGGACGACCTTAAAACTATTCTACAAATCCAGCAAGCTCAGAATGATGCAAACCAAATGAAGCTTTTAGATGCATTGATGCAGAAGCTCTCATTTCATTCATCATCAAATTCTCAGTCAGATAAATATGACAGCATCGCAAATTCTATTTGTGAATTCAATTATGATCCCGATTCTGGTATTATTTTCGATTCCTGGTTTCGCCGTTTTGAAGACACATTTCGTGTTGAATGCTCGAATCTTGATGATGCAGCCAAAGTTCGCCTACTCTTGAGAAGACTCGGAACACTTGAATATAACAAATATGTAAATTTCATTTTGCCACAAAATCCACGAGATTTATCATTCAATGAGACAGTTCAAACTTTGTCCCAAATTTTTGGTGAACAATCCTCATTATTCAGCATCCGTTATCAGTGTTTTCAAATATCTAAATCCTTATCTGATGATTATCTCACATACGCTGGACATGTAAATAAAGAATGCGAACGTTTTAGAATAAATGAAATTACAGCAGATCAATTCAAATGTCTGATTTTTATCTGTGGATTAAAGAATTCGGAAGATATGGATGTACGTACCAGAATTCTATCACGCATTGAGCAGGAGCCTAACATGACCCTGCAAATGGTCACAACCGAGTGTCAACGGTTGTTAAATCTTAAACATGATTCCACGATGGTACAACAAAATGCAAAGACTTCCAATCTTGCATCAATAAATGCATGCAGATCTCACAAACCTTCCAAACAAAAGACGGCGAACACACAGAAACCTTCTGGTAAACCACCATCACCATGTTGGTCCTGCGGATCATGGCACTTTGTGAAGTTATGCCCATTTAAGAACCACAAATGCCGCCAATGTCACCACATTGGTCATAAAGAAGGTTACTGCTCCTCAGATAAACGTCAGTCCAAACATCGTGGCGTAAAGGTGAAGCGACAGTCACAGAGTCAAGTCAAAACACATTTGCAACTTTTAAAGTGGGATTTCAAAGTAAACGGAAGTATGGGCATTTATTAGTGAATGCAAACCTATTCGTCTTCAGTTAGACACTGCTTCCGACATTACACTGATCTCCAAGAACACATGGCGTAAGCTAGGGTGCCCACTCATCCGACCAACAGAGCATGTTGCTCGAAATGCTTCAGGCGACATAGTGAAGCTAACTGGAGAGGTCACCTGCAACGTGCAATTCAAGGGACATAAATTCACTGATGTTTGTTATCTAACAAATCGGCATGATTTAGATCTATTGGGATTGGATTGGATTGAGAAGATCGATGTCTTAAATAGTTTATTAAATGAAGTATGTTCTCATAATTCTTGCTCTGATTCTATCCAAAATTCTCATGATATTTCCGAATCAAATGCCTCAGTTGTGTTATGTTCCCCTGATGTTTATGAACTAAATGCTTCCGATGTAACATGTTCTCGTAATATTTCGGCATCGAATTCCTCCGATTTAATGTGTTCTCATAATGATGTCAAATCAAATACCTCTAATTTAATGTGTTCTCATAATGATGCTAAATCAAATAACTCCGATGTAACATGTTCACAAAATGATTCCCCATCAAATTCGTCAAACAAAGTATGCTGTCGTAATATCTCAAAATCTCATGCATCTTATTCCTCTAAAATGTCGACCACATCCCATGTAAATCATTTTCGATAAAAACATGCAGATGTATTCCAAAACAAACTGGGCTGTTGTAAGTTCACCAAAGTTTTCTTGTCGTTAAAGCAAAATGCAAAACCTGTCTTCAGACCAAAACGACCAGTACCTTATGCTGCTCTGTCAGTTGTTGACCAGGAACTTGACAGGTTGGAAGCACTGGGTGTTATTCAGCCAGTAAATTACTCACCGTGGGCTGCTCCCATAGTAGTTGTGAGAAAGGCAAATGGGACAGTTCGCATATGTGCTGATTTTTCCACTGGTCAAAATGAAGCTTACAATAAGATGAATATAGATATAGATAATCTAGTTACCGAATAGTTATACAATAAGAATGATAGTCCAATAGTAGGTCCTGCAAGTTACCCGTACTTATGTCTTCGCTACTACATAACACCCCCTTTTTTGAAGATTCGATGATTAGATTCTGATTTTAAAAAAATTATCTGTAAGTTGAAATTCCCCAACAAGAAGCATTAGAGCTGACAAGCAGAAATACGTGGAAGACCTAGCAGTGACAATGGAAAAAGCTGCAAGAGAAGGAAATATGCGACAACTACATGATTCAACGGAGAAACTAGCGGGAATGCATAGTTAACAAGGACAGGCAGCCAAGAGCAGAGGAACAGATGGGTAGAATGCTTCGAGGAACTCTTGAATAGGCCAGCTCCATCGAATCCACGAGACATCGAGGCAGAACCTACAGACCTTCCTATAGATGTCACTTTACCAACTATAGAAGAGTTTGTTAGAGAATCCTGGTCGGCGGTGTATAGTTGATCTAGTTACATTCAAAGTAATCTTTGTTTATCTTCAAAACTCTGGATAACCGTTTGGAAAAGCTACTTCATCTGCGAACTATGTGGCGAGGATGTGAATATGATTTATGATAACACTCATAAAATTTTGAGTTTTTGTATTATGTTGCACATAATATTCTTTGATTTGGATTGTTATTCTTAGAGTATATTTTATAAGTTTAGTGTTCTGTGATTGTCAGTGCAACTGTTATTTCAACAAACGTATTTTTCGTCTTGTTAATTTACTGTCACTGTGCATATTCGATGAGTGTTAACTTGAACCGATGCACTTGTTCCCTAATTCTTCGATCGAATATTTTACTGTCAGAGAAACCAGCGATGTTAAGTCCCAGTAATTATCCTTGTATTTCAAAACCTGTCGAAATCTGTTAGACCTGAAACCTGCCTGTATTTGACTGGTTCCCAGGTAAATGTTTGTTGATGAAGGGAGATAAATTAGCACAAATCTCTATCCTTCCTTGTAAACTAAAGTGATAAGTAGTTAAGATAAAACCCAACTTAATTTAGGATTCCCAACCTTCTTTCTTCAAAACTTTGAAAGTAGACGATCAAGCAATACAATGTTTTGTATATATACGTAGTACACTCAGTTGGAAATTTCCATGTGCCTTCATTTTGAAGCCGATATCAGCTCAAATAAACACAAACCAGTGTATAGTTACTACCACAGACCAAATATACTAAGTACAGAGTTTTTTTAATTTATCCCAAAAACTATACAGTTTATGGTCAAAAAAGAAGATAATAAAATAAAACAAATCTATGCTTAGATTTAATTGTGAAGTTGCTACCCGCTCTCAGCAACTCACCACATGGAAGTTATCAAAGGCAAATGTTCCTAATGGACCAATGAAAGTGAACTAGAATTGTTAAAAATCTCAAGTTTCATGCTATGGGTTTTCTTCACAAATCTAAACAAAACAGGAAAGACAATATCTGCAGAATCCATTGTATGTCATTGCTTTTAATTTCCAATTATTAACATATTGTTCAGTTTGAAGAAATGATATGTCAACAACGTACAAGTTTTTAGAGTGAAAGAAGTTGAGAATTGAAATTTCGGGCAGGCTTTCTTATAGTTGTTTAGGGTGGTAGTTCTAAAATTCTGAGAACAAATTATCGCTTAGTATAATGAGATTTCTAGAAAGTTCGGACTGTGGAGGATTGTGTAATGTCGTGTGCAATGTTAAGTACACATAGCTTATTCTAGCCTCACGATAAGCTAATCTATTCATTCTTCTTAAACCGCATTTTGACCTTATCACTTATTCGTTTATTTATGCTGACTGCTTTTAAACGAGCGTATGTATATGCACATCTTATCCTACTCATCACATATTTGTAGCTTAATTTTATCTGGCTATAAGTATTGATTAACACTTGATTGAATTGAGTTAGTTCACTTTCCATCTTCAATCTGCTTCGCTCTTCCCTCTTTATTTCGTCTCCCTGATTGCCCGTTCAAACCACTGAGTGCATTAAATATACTTATTCAAAATCCCTTCTCATATTCAGCTTATTTCATTCCTTTATATTCACCAACGCATAATAAATCTATAATCATATACGGGTATTTACGATGTGTATTTTAATAGCAATCATTCGATAACAAACAGTAAACGATCAAATTAAAGTTAGATCTTGAACACTAAAGGAGAGAAGAGGACGTGTGACTTTTTGCCCACTAAATTGTGGTTATGATTAATTAAAAAATATTTGGTTCGCCTTTGCTACTAACGCATTTATAATTTAATCACTTGCTCTTCGGATACAAAGGTCAGGTTTAAGTCTTCTAACTGCCTTGACTTCTGGAAATAAGATAACGTTGTTTAGTGATAACTCTGAATAGGTGCATTTGATCAATGCTATGCTCTGTATCTAGCAAGTAGTGCGCTATTCTGTCCTCAAAGACATAGGTTTCTGGGTGTGTTTTCAGTAAAACGAGTAGAGTCACCTCTCCGTCCTTCCGATATACACGTAACTTGATACATGCATTTGAAGGTGACACGTGACGGATGTTTGTCTATTTTCGCTTGTGTGGTTGGGTAGTGTTGTGTGTAGTGAAAGAAAATTCGCAGTAGAAATATGCCTTTGGGGCTGTTTGATTAGTTTTACTTATGGTTTAAGCACCTTTCAATGACAATCGAACAAAAGTTTCTGCGCAATTATTTATTTCCATTTGTTTCTTTTTGGTTTTTTTTTTAATTGAACACAACTTTTTGTGTCTGTTAAACGTTTTCCCTAACCCATACTTATGGTTTATAGGGCAAAAGCTGTGTAATTTTAGACACTGGTCACTCCAATTTTCCCTCTGACATAAATAAGTACCTTTGTAATGTACCGTCATCTCCTTAATGGATACATCAAGGAAATGGAATACATCTATTTCATATTCTTTTGTAAATTCAATATAAGGATGGACTATATTGAAGGAAACGCATATGTCATTTGGTTGAATTATGTTCCTGGGCATTTGTCATTAACACACCTCATATAAAATGGAATCTCATTGGTAACAGTTAACGATTTTGTCTTTTCCAAATTTGTCAGCAAAGACTGTAATATTAAAGGACTACCCATAGCGATATAGCCTGCTTGACGATATAATCTATTGTTGAATTGAAACTGGATGTTTCTGTGCGCAGTTTGAGCTGTGATTGTGGTGTGGTTTAACGGTACAAATATTGGCTAATCGTGTAATTTTTTTCCTCCAAAGGGATACTGGTAAACAGCTAAGGTATGTATTATGAGACCATAAGTTTATGTGATCCGTTACTTCTGCAAATTCAAGTGTTCATTAAACTTCATACAGCCAACTCTTCACGAATTGGTTCTAGTTTGTTAGCTAAACATTGTCCTAGTTTGTGGCAGAGAAAACTAATGATTAAAATAAATTTCATCTTTAACTTCTTTCACTCTACAAACAAATTGTTCGTAGTTGACACTACAATTTTGCAAATTGAAGAATATGTTAATAATCGGAAACAACTAAAATTAATTGCTTGGACATAGCTGAAGAGAAAGCAACGAATTCATTGTATTTTGCAAATATTTACCTTATTCGAGTCCTGGGACAGTTGAATGATGCAAAAAGTTACACTGACGTAAATAAATTCCCAGTCATATTGGGTGATTGCTCGTAAAGGAAAAGAAGCAATGACAGTAACCTTTAGAGTGCACTTGAACATTCCTATTACAATAAGTATTTAGGGTAGAATCCAGAAATGGATTTGGTGGTACATTTTCCACTCAACCAACAAATAATTTATTACAATCACTATAATGGGAATCAGCCTGATAATATCTACTCACACTTGTCTCGAAAATACACAACACAACAGAATATTTCACGTACTTAAATTTAGTGTAGGAATAAAGAGAGGTGTTGCAAAGGAATACGAAAATCATTCCACTTATTAGCTGGGAAAAATATCGACTGCGTTACATGATTAGTGAAATGTCAGTGATAGACTCTTTCTAATTGTCATTCGATCCCGTGCATTCTAATGCTGTAAGAATTTATTAGATTTAGAAGTGATTGCTAAAATATATGTTGCATGAATTCTCTATGTAAATTCAGTATATACAAGCCTCTTCTTTTTTCAGACACCGTTGGTAAAGTAGACATAATTGCTACAGTAAGCGGGGACGGTTCGAGCAGTTTGGCGAATGCTCTTCGTTTGGCGATAGCCAGGTGTTTGGCCTCAATGCTTCCGATAGATCAGGGAAAAAATAGACTATTGGTAACTGGTTTATTGTCTCAGGATAACCGGTTTGCGGAACGTAAGCAACCAGGTCAAAGAAAAGCACGCAAGAAGCCTATTTGGTGAGTATTTTTTTAATGAACGGTTTTACTTATTTCTATTTTTATTGAAATCAACAAGTACTGTTCTGATTCATGTAAGTGGTATTATTTATCAAAGGTCATTACTTTTGTACTGTTCAAAATTCCAAAGAAATGTATTCCATACTATTCGAATCCTTACTTCTTGAGTTAAGTGATGTTGTGGATGGCTGGGCAAATGTCAGTTAACAATAAAGATTTCAACAGATCTTAAAAACGATATAAAGACCTGCTAATATCAATACTATCCTCTACGCTACTAATTGTCGTTTTCCTTTGGAACGATTTTAAAATCTTTGCAACATACCATTGATATTTAGCATTGTTCAAATTCACTATAAGCGTTTGAAATTTAAGTACTGATACAACCACCAGATTGAACAAGCTACTCGACTAGATTCAAAGGCATGGGTACAAGGTTTCTACCCTCCTCCCGACCGTTGCTGCTACCTTGACGTGGTGGTCGGGCGTGCCTATCGTGATGAATCAACCGAGCTATACTGGCTGGAACAATCGTACCTCAAGGTCCTACCATGCCAGGTAGGTCGTTTGAAGAGCGGTGAGACTAAAAGCAGCAATCCCAAGGTCCGAAGGCGAAGTCGTACTGCTGACTGTACAAAGCTGTGACAGCAGTAAGGTGTTTCCTTCAGTCAACCAGCATAACAGCGATGCTGCCTTCCCACAAGGAGGGCTGGGGTCAGAAAAGGTCGACCCTAAAAATGCACACTTCGCCTTATCCCACGGATTTCCGTCTCCGGCGGTAAGGTTTTTTTTTGAAGAACGGAGCTAACACAAAAACTACCCACAAAAAGGTCGTGTGTGACCGACCTCAAGCAGTTGTCCCTTGGGCACTGCGGTCACGCTCTCAGGTCATTAAGACCACTACTAACCCAATTTCCTTTTCAGGTACCTCTAGAAGAACCCTTCCACGGTGTGGGCAACCGGGAAGTGATAACTGCCCTCATACCTCTTACAGCGGTCAAGACCACTGTATTCATAATCAATCTCTTTCTTCAATTCCTACTATTCCTTCTACCTTGACTTTCAACACTAAACTTCCTCTTTCGGTTTCCTCCTCAAGTGTCACCATGGCCAACGATTCTAGTGCGCGAAACGCACTTTCTTCCAAGTCTATTTCACTGATGGATTCGCGTAAACTCATCCCATCAGGCTCTGAACATGACGAAGAGCGTGAACAAATTAGATCTAGGTTAACTAAAAGTCTAAGGAACGATCGTGAGCAGTGGTGGGCAACGAAATCAAAAGAGATGGAAAAGACAGCGGCTGTAGGCAACACTAGGGAACTATTCATACTAATAAAAGAAACCGGAATTAAGAAGTCAAGTGTAAGTGAGGCAATCTCGGAAAAAGACGGAACCCTTATCTGCTCTCAACACAAACGTTTAGAACGATGGGCGGAACACTTTAAGGAGCAGTTTAGCTGGCCTTCAGCTACTGCACAACTACCCACAATTCCCAGAAAACCTGAATGGAACATTGAAGTAGGCCCCCCGACCCTACTTGAAGTTCAAAAGGCTATAAGTAATCTGAAACGAGGAAGAGCAGCTGGTCCAGATGGATTGGCTCCAGAGGTCTTTAAATATGGTGGTCCAATTTTAGCGAGTAAGTTGACTAATATTCTGGCTAAAATCTGGGAGACGGACGTAATCCCATCTGACTGATCACAATCACTGATTGTCTCAATATATAAAAAGGGGTCAAAATCACCCTGTGATAACCATAGAGGGATTAGTCTGACTAACATTGCACCTAAAATACTAGCCTCAATAATTATCAGGCGCCTAACTAAGAATCGTGAACTGCAAACACGAGAAAATCAGGCTGGCTTCAGACCTGGTCGTGGCTGTATCGACCACATATTCACCATTCGTCAAGTTTTAGAGCACAGACACGCTTATCGGCGTCCGACAATGATAGTTTTTCTTGACTTGAAGGCAGCATTTGACTCTGTAGACCGAGAGGTTCTATGGCAGTGTCTGTCATTGAAAGGTGTACCTGAGAAGTACATAAACCTTGTGAAGGCTCTTTACTCAAACACTACCAGTTGAGTGAGGGCTTATGGCGAACTGTCATATGATTTTACAACCTCAAGTGGTGTCCGTCAAGGTTGTCCACTATCCCCATTTTTGTTTAACTTCATCATAGACCTATTGCTGGAAATAACACTCTCGTCGACTGAATTTTCAGGAATTGATCTTCTACCAGGGGCTCCACTAAGCGACTTAGAATACTCAAATGACATAGTCCTGTTTGGTGAAGACACCGACGAAATGCAGAGTCTTCTGTTAAAACTGAGTAACAATGCCAGGATGTTTGGGATGCGTTTCTCCCCCTCCGAATGTAAATTGTTACTCCAGGACTGGCCTGCGTCAACACCTGAACTAAGGATAGGGAGTGAAGTAGTCGAACGCGTGAACAACTTCACTTATCTTGGAAGTCTGATCAGCCCTAATAGGTTGGTGCCTGACGAAATTTCTGCAAGGATTCAAAAAGCTCGTTTGGCGTTTGGCAACTTACGTCAACTATGGCGAAGACGAGATATCCGTCTATCAATTAAGGGACGAGTATACTGAACAGCAGTTCGCTCTGTTCCACTTTACGGCTGTGAATCATGGCCATTAAGAGTAGAAAATACTCATAATCTACTAGTATTTGGCCACAAATGCCCCAGAAATATTGCTCGCATCTGCTGGGATCACCGGGTAAGTAATAGTGAGGTTAGACGCAAGGTATTAGGGAATGGTTGTAAATCAGTTGATGAATCTTCATCGACCGTCCTGTAAATTGATTTCGACCATTAATCCCAAATATATTAGATGTCATAAGCATCTTAATGATGACTTGTCTAGCATTATTGATAAACTGTACGAATATGCTGATTTGTGTATAAAAATATTACGATGAAATAGATATTTTATCGTAATGACTTTTCGATTTTATTATCCATTTCAGGAAGGCACGCTAAATTCACAAGTACTGAATAAAAATGCAAGCAACAACATTTTTCCTTTTCATTCGCGTTCAATACTGGCCCGCAGATTTCGCCGCCTTGGTTTCCAGCTCGATCATCTAAAGAAGAAAGCACAGATGTAAAACCACATATATATTTTTTTCTCATATGAATGAATAGTTTGTTGAAACAATATTAAACTGTCAAACAATTTTTATGTCAACCAAGAATCCGTGATATTAACTTCACAAAAGTTATCGACAAACGTGAACGCATATAACCTAGGACAAAATTATGAGGTTACATGCTTAACAACTTAGTATCTAGGACCTCCGTGTTCTTAAAACGTAAGCTACAGAAAAGTACAGAAATGCAAGAGAATTTGCAGGATGTTTAGGCTTTAAATTTTTTACCGCCTCAATCTGAAGTACTGAATGTACTAGTTTTATTTAGTTGTAATTTGAATGCTAAGTACAAGAAAAATCGAGAGGAAGAGCGGACTCTTCCCACTCTCCGCCGTACAAGGGCATTTGGGACACTTTCGATTCGTTGGATAAGACTGTTCTCTGGGATCGTCTATTGAAGAAGGGTGTGCCTGAGAAGCCTATTAACATCTTAAAAGCCCTATATACAAACAACTCAAGCAAAGTGAAGGCATACAACCACCCCTCACCATTGTTCCATTCAAGCAGTGGGGTTAGACAGGGTTGGTCAATTTCACCATTCCTCTTCAACTTTGCTAACGATGACGTTCTGGAAACAGCTCTGACGGTTGCATGTAATAATGGTGTGGATCTGTTACCTAGAGAAAGACTTCTCGACCTTGATATCCGCACTTAATCAGTTGGCAATCAGTGTCCATAGGTACGGTATATGACTTGCACCTTCGAAGTGCAAAGTACTTCTACAACACTGGCAGGATTCTAATCCTGTACTCACCATGGGTGGTGAGCAGATTGCAGTAGTCGAGAAGTTCGTGTATCTAGGTAGCTGCACAAGTGCTGGTGGTGGCGTGAGTGGTGAGATGGATTCACGTATAATGAAAGCCAGAGCGGCTTATGCCAATCTGGGCCACCTTAGGCGCCTTCGTGATGTTAGTCTGGCTGTAAACGGTCGGGTCTACAACGCGTCGGTGAGAGCAGTTTTGCTCTATGCTTGTGAAACCTAACCACTCCGAGTTGAGGATGTTAGACGCCTCTCTGTGTTTGATCATCGTTGTCTCCGAAGGATTGCTGACATCCAGTGGCAACACCATGTTAGTAATGCAGAGGTTCGGCATCGAGTGTTCGGGCACAGAGACGATAATCCCATTGGTGTCACCATCTTGAAACACCGACTTCGGTGGATTGGACATGTTCTACGAATGTCGTCTCAGAGAAGTCCACGTCGTGCATTATTTGCCGACTTTGGGACTGATTGTAAAAGGCGGAGAGGTGGTCAGTGTATGACATGGTGTCGTGGTATGAAAGAAAGCTGCAAAGGGCTGACTTCTGTCGCTCCTTCCCGACTTCCTGGTTGGGGTCCGAGAGATGGTGCAACACAGTGGCTAGAGACTTTACTAGACATGGCTCAGAATAGAAGTCAGTGGCGATCCTGCTGTAACTTTATTTTACTTCATAAGAAATGGTTATAACCTCGTCTGCTTGTACCAATATTTGTGTTTTTAAATAAACGAATAATACCAGAATCATCAGCTGAAGTAAAAATGCGACATATAATTAATATTCATTTACCCTTCAGCTTGTTTTAGAAACTATTTGTGGTAGACAGATTTTATTATTATCTAAATAACCAGCAATATATAGCTTGTAGTTTAATAGGCTACGAATGAGTTATCTACAGCTTGTTAATATGAAGATACATAAAACTATGTCTATTATAAGTGAAAAAGATCTCGAATTTGTACTCAGTAAAATCTAACGCATAACGTACTCGTTTAGCATAGTTTGGATTTGTTACTAGCCGGTCAGTTAACTGCATAAAATGCTTCTCCAAATTCACACATTCTGTTATCTGAAAAACGTACAAATATGAAAATGTTTACAGAAGTCAAGCAGATCCGAAAACGTAATTTATCTGGACGTATAGTTTGTTTTCTAACAAGATTACTGTTCGTCGTCACCATAACAGCAGAAACATATATTACATATTTATAGATTTTTGTGTCTACTTGTCTGTCTAATATAGCATTTTCACATGATAAAGCAGTTTGTTCAGTTTATTCTTGATAGAATTTGAAGAGTGAAGATCGAAAGAAATGGAAATGCCACACCTGATTCTAAATAAATATAGAATTCTGGTCACTTGTTCATTTTTAGAGTTTTTTGTTGGTACTAGTGTGATTATTTTTGTACCTATCCCTGCCCCGTGGTGTGTGTGCGGAGTGAATCTTGAGTAGTGTTAGTCGCTTTGATAGTGAAAGAAAGGCACTTGGAAACATATTCTCAATAATGGCAAGCAGTAATGAGTTAAAACAAAAACGAAAGAAATAGAAGAGCTAGTAGGAACACTAGAAACCTGTTCACATTTGTCAAGGAATAATGATCAAATCCCGAAACAGGCGACTAATAAACTCCATTTCCAAGCCTTGGAATGTCGATATACTAACCACATCATCACTGTAGCGGTCTACTGACATTAGGACGGTAATCATTTTGATGGTATTCCGAAAACCAGATACATTTGCGTCACACAAATCTCATTTGATTTGTGTGAGGGATGTGATACTGCCTGGGTGCCCGAACCAAAGCTGGGGTTATAGCGTAAGCAACATTCTGGTCTCTCAACTGTTCGCTCTACGGTTGTAAACAAAGAAGAGCATATATGATCATCGGTATTTTCGAAGTGAAACTGAATTTTAGCGTCGCGTACAACGTAGAAATCTCAAGTTGTCTATTGAAGTTGTAAACATTCAACATTCATTTACTGTTCTGAAGTTTAGTGTTAGCTAGCATACATTTGTCTAATTGGTGCGAATGACGTTCAAGTTTGCAGTTGTATAAGAAACCTATGTCACTAGTGCCTATCACTAAATCCGATCGAACTTTTGTTTCCCGAATAATTTTTTTATTAATAGCGCTAACTTAGCTAATACTCCACAACTTTGCAGACCACTTGATTTTGTCTAGTTTTTTGTAATACCTAATATCACAAGATCTGAACAACTCGAAATTGACATTGGTTTAGGAGTTAACTCTGAAACTGAAAGTCCATCATATTACATAATGACTTGCTTAATTATACACAAACTTACTTTTTCCTGAAGAATTCGAAGCATTTTGATCGAGTCATACTGCTCGGGATCATCGAGGAAATGAACAGTCCCACTTTGTTGATCAATGTTTGCGAAAATAGCTTTTGACTTAATCTGATATGGGATGCATCAATAAAAATAGACGATTTGTCATTATTTTAAAACGTGTAAATATTAACGATATGTTCTAAATCTTTCCATAAACTAACAGTTTTATTTAAATACAAAAACTGATTGTTTTTCACTCTTATCATAAACCCACACATGAATGTAAATGGAATCTCCACCTAAAGTGCCAGACATTTGAGATGGTGGAGAAGATTTGTAGCTCAGGTGGGTGATTTTTATGTTGGTTTGTTCTCTGAACATTGTGAGCACTACAAAATTTACAATTGTAATCACTTTCCGGAAAAGTAGGTACAAATAGGAAAACAATGCTTTATACGTTGTGCTTTGTTATGGAAGTACAATCGAAAACTCATGAAGATCTTGAGGTATGTCTAGTTCTTAACGACGAATCGTACTACAAAAAATTACTTCTTCAGTGAAAACAATTGTAGAACACACATGGGAGTCTTTAATATTCGAAAAACAATCGTCGGTGTTTTCTGTGATCACTGATTTACGATCAAGCCTGTTAAATAGGCACCTTATCAAACCCCGTTTGTATCGCACAGGGCAATAACTATAATAACTAATGTATTGACCTGTCCATGTTGCGCTAATATACCACATAGTTTTGATAATCTTCGTCTTCTTATTATACTATCGAAACCGTCAATGTGTCATTTAGGTGTGTTGTATCTAGAGCCTTGATTCTTGATATGCCGCGAACTACTCGACTACTTTAACGATAGAACCCGAAACGTCGCGAAAGAGAGAAGACAAAGACTGGTAAGAAGGAAGTTTATTCCACCAAATCAGTGTCAAAATATAGTACAGAAATCTCGTGTATTTATAGTTTTTTTGGCTGAATGTAAATCATCATTTCGGTCTACTAATAGGCACATAGGGGTCATGCTAATCCATTCAATGGGGAAGCTACACGTCGACATTCTAGAACATTCCCCTAGCCGTGATTGGATGGAATGTCTGTGGCTCTTTCTGGGCTTCCTAGAGTCCACCGACGGGCCGTCCTTACAGGTGCCTTAAATATAAATAAGCTATAGAACAAAATTCGCGCTTCCGTAGCGTCACTTAGTATAAAAAGTATTTTTTTTTTACGAAAGCTGTGATTATTGATAGTTGAAGTGCTTAGGTGTTCGTGATGTGACATAGTAATCTGGAATCTTATTCCGATAATCTGTTTATAAATGATACTTTCAAAAGTGAAAAACCGACTTTTTTCGAATAGGGGAAACTTTATTATTCTAAAACTGAAAAGCAACGAAGACCTGAACATTATAGAATGCTCGAACACCATTGGATTACGCTCTACTTGTTTTACGTTACTTACGTGAGCTTAGTTCTGAATGAGCAAGATTTAGTAGTTAAATTTTTAGACAAGCCTGCATAGTAATAATTATTATTATTACTACTGATGTGGTTATTCTGAAATTGTACTTACCATATCTAAAATCTGTTTCTCCGCTTCTTGGGTTCCAGAAAGTTTTATACGCATGGCGACATCGGTCAGGGATAGTGTCATAAAAGTCTACCAATTGGATGAATAAAAAAAGATGGTTCCTATTATTTTCAAGTAAGAAGGGACTATAAAAAAAATTAAAACCCTAAAAGACGACTGTTAGCGAGAAATAGATTTGGTCAGTATAGCACGTCTTGTGCAAGATTGTGTTGGGGCATGCTGATTAGCGATGTCAGCCAGTAGTTAGGTTTTAAACCAACTGGGTAGTGATCACCATCTGTAGTAGGTAATATTGTGTTTAAAATGCAAACAATACTATTTCACTAAGCATACCAAACAATAATAAGGGAGCATTCTTATTATATTACAGTTACCTGCTAAAAATGTCTTTCAAATTTTCAGCAGTTCAGAGGGGTAACATTTATATTCTCCGAACATTTATGAAGAAAAATGTAAAACAACATGCAAGACCATGAATCTGCATCGAGTGTGTAAAACATCAAATACGTCTAGTTAATGTAACTGAATGTGCACATAAATTTAACCTACTTTTGTTAAGCTCTGGATACGAAATTTTCCATGACACTTTATTACTTGTTTAACAAGTCCGAAGTTGAAATCCTATCGTAAAAAGAAAAATAATGTTAACTTTAAAAATAGAGGTATGTAAAATAAACACTACATTCTAGGTGTTTCCAACAAAAAAAACTCAATACCAATAATAATAAGTAGAAAATTTAAGAAATTTCTTGACACAATGGTATTAAAGATAGAGAAATTGAACACAGAACATAGGTCCACTTAAATTTCGGGACTACTAGAATAAGTAGTAGTAGTTTTGAGCCTAATGTACGAACAAATACTTTTCAGATTTGTCCAATACTCCTTTCAATGATCGCGAACGGCCCAGCACTCGAGTAAGGAATAAGACCATGCACGCGAACGAATGTGTTCTTTTGAATTCAAAATAATAATTTTCAAGATAATCATCATTAGATACAAACATATCAACGAGTTATCTACATTCTCTACTTGCGTTAACTAGTTCATATCTGACAAATACACTATTGATTTACGACCTTACATGGAAAGATAATAACCTATCATTGTGCAAGAAACTATAACACCTAGGCGAAACCATCGCAGTAACAACACAAATTATAAAAAAGGGAGTTCATTAGAAGGCTATTCCTAAAAATAATAAGTTCAACACTTCAAATCTCTCACAGCGAAATCCGATCACACTGAATCTTTCTCATACATGAATATATATATCGCAATTTTGACTGGATTACAAGAACCCTTAATGTCACGAATTAAATTAAATCACGAATTAAACATGGTTTCACGATTTTATATTGGGATCATTCCAGTAACATAAATTGAAGCGGTGGCTCAGTGGTTAGGAGTTTGAGCCTTTAAGTAGCAGTTTCGAACCTACTTTGATTTGGGTCCACTGTTAGTATTACTAGTGTCTAGAGTTTCAATGTAATTCAAAGCCAATTATATAGATCTGTACTACGTATATGAGTCAATAAATAATACAAAGTGCTGTGATTTGAATTCATTTGATAATCAGATGGCGTCAACCTAAATGTGTTTCAGAACTTAAAGTAATTTAATTGACTATCTCATTGTGAATCGTAGTCCAAAACATTCAAATAAATATGACGATATTTATGTAACAAATATCCACGTGCATTTCAACTGTACTTTATTCTCATTCGATACTAGTGTACCCAGTGGTTCTCTTTTTATCGTATGAAATGATTTTGATTCATCCGGTTGGAGCTTTTTTACATTTATTTATCAAAAAGCCTTTATCGGCTTTCCCTCCAAATCCAGTTTTCTTCAAATGTGTGAGAATATATCAGATTTGTAACCAAGCCCCTCTCTTAAGTTTTAATGAATGCACAATTCGTGTTTCGCCCGAAGTATTTTGGAAACTTGAAAAGTACATCTTGTAAAAGTTCTTATATGTAGAAACTATTTAGAGTTTGCAAGTTTGAAACAGATTGATGACGGCACTCAACTAGATATCTATGTCTTAAACAGGTTTTCTACAGGCCAAGGATCTGATGTTATGTTTCCTAGTTCTTTAAGCTCTAGGAGGGTTTCGCCCCAAGGTTCCCTGAAGATGTTTTAAAATGCTTAATGTATCACGATGTTTCTGACCCGATAACATTCATAATCTTGTTCTTAAGAAGTCCGCCATAGTCTATTCTCAGAACAATTTAGTTTTAATAAACTAAGAACATACGACCTCATCAAACTGAGAATTATAATCATCAAACAAAATTAATATTATAGTTGGGGAATAAGTGCACGATTCAACGACAAGATAAGATAAACAAGGGAAAAAACATCAAACACGAATTTTGTATAAATTAGTGGACACTAATTATTAATCAGGAAAATTCTATTAAGTCAAAGGGATAACTCTTGCGATTAACTTGAATAGTTAGAAAGTACTATCTCTTCTGGTTTCTTATGTGTACTTTGTTCTTTGCTAAACGTTTACATTATTTATACGTGGAAGACTGGCAGTTTACATGTGTATGAAAACTTACAGCTGTAAATAATTCTCGATGAAGATCAACAAAATTAGTTAAGTCCTCAGGATTGTTAGATCGAAATGCTGTTGCTAGTTCTAAATATGGCTGACAGTAGCACTGAAATAGGAAGAAATTTTAAAAAATTGATAACGTAGCAATTGTTTTTGCGAATTAGACAAGGATGAATTTGTGTACAAGACCAAAACTTACGAATATGAAACAAAAAGATCACTAATAAATCATGTTCTGATTATTATGTCAACACTATATGGATTACTAAACGGTTTATAATAACCAAAACGGTTAACGATACTCATGAGGTTTTATTTGACATGACATCATCATTAACACAACATTATCTCTATGAAACTTACGACCACGTTGGAGGTATTTTGACAACTAAGCCATATGATATATTTTTCCACACTAATTTCCCTTTACTTTGTTATTAGTTTGAAAATCATGTCATTACTAAATCTCCAAAGTTCTACAGTAATATGAGCATGACAGTAACATTTAAAATTTAAACACTATTTATCGTTGAAATCTCACCAAATTTGGTGATTAGTTAGGGAAATAAATACTGGAAAGTTTGTTAGATTTCACTTTAAAATTCCCAGTGAGAAATAGTATTTTTAAGGTAAACATTTCGACTAGAAAAGTTGGTCAGAAAACATGATGGCCAATAATACCGAACACAACAAATAAATGATGATCCCTAAGAGAACTAAACAACAGAGCTTAACTGAAGGCTGAAAATTCTGCGAAAGCGTAACATCATCTGAATGAAATAGACATAAGATAGATGGAGATTCGAACAGTAATGTAGGATACTAGGTTACCACTCTTAGCAATACACAAGAATTTCGAAGAAAAAACAGGACTGATTTAGGTGTATCCAATGATATTGTGTCTGGATCAATGCAAATTATGGAAAACCAATCCACAACAAGAATAATGTTCATCTATGAGGATTGAATTATGCCTTGGAAACAAAACCGGAATTTCAGAATCCCCACAATATAGGATACTGATTTAAATTCAGTTTGCTGTCTTCACAATCTTTTTATAAAGCCAAACGGAGAATATCTAAGATCCTCAACAAGTGATCGATTGAGTTTTATTTTAAACGCCCAACAATCCAACTGAATCATTCTCAAGTGCTCTGTAATTTCACTCTACTAGGTGTCAGCAAACATTGTAGTCATTTTATAGGTATGCATTTTACTCATCATCTACTCATTGGTAATAAATACCATTATTTCATTTTAGTTGTTTTTACAAGTATACTTATCTATTCTTATGTCAATTACAATAATTTGTTCCAAAGATGAATTTAGTCTTAAGTAAGAAATCACACTTGTTTACATAAAAGGTTTGCACAAATTCCGTCTTTAAATTTTACAGGAAGTATACGAATATGATAATCCCAAGTGGAAAGAAATTCCTTTTTTTGTAAGCTGGAATGGACGAAAGTAAAGATAAAAACAAAAGGAGTACTTAGATTTAATTTGAAATTTCTAACATTCATTCTTAAAAAATCCTGAAGGTTCAACATCGTAGACTGGTGAATAGATTTTCTACATTTACTCAACTGGAAACTGAACATAAATAAACTTTCATGATAATTCAGTCGATCATAAGCAACAGAATTTAACACAAACGTGCGTTAGCCCACGCTAGTGTACTATATTATCCCAATGAAATGAAGTTAACCAGCAAAATTGCAAAAGAGTCGCAATACTAGCAGTGCCACAAATAATGAGAAAGTCTAGATACAGGACAGTACGATCCAAAAGAAGAAACAAATTCTAATTTTAAAAAGGGCATGAAAAATTAAGAAGCTTGAGAGTTACGCGGTGATGAGTGAAGGCATCTCTGACACTGTAACCAGCTTTGAGATACGAAATTCAACGTCTCCAAACCCTGACCACTTATCACGTGTACCCTAACCGGATTAGTCTGAACCTACTAATATGGCTTAGCATAACAGTCAATAACTTGATGGATTGATATCATTTCTAGGTTTAGCCGCCCACAGCTCCCTTTTCACTTACTCCTACTCCAGCTACTATTGTACATTAAATTAGGCGGTGGTTGAACATACGTAATACATACCCGAACCACCTTGGAAGATGAGGATTTAAAATATTACCAACCAACTTGCCATCTTTCCCAAGAGACCTGAGTTTAACTTCACAATTACTCACTCGACGGTCTCGACATACGCGAGCAATGCCTTGAAGACGCCTATAATCAAATACTAGTAACCTACGAATTTCCCACACTTCTAAAAACGAGGTTTCAAAGCTGTGACAAACCAAATCACTGTTCAGTATACTCGTACTTGAGGCGGCAGTCGAATGCTGTCATCAGGTTGAGGACAATATTACAACTGGTGATCGGTGTGTGTGCTCTAAAACTTTACAAAATGTAATAATCTTATCAATTTATCTATCCTGGTTTCTCATGTTTTGCTTACCTCCTTAGATACATGCAAGTGAACGGTTACGGAAGATAACATTTTTGAGACTTTATTGATCAAACTGATTCCTTTGTAGTTATCACATTAAGGTTTTAGTCCTTTCTCATAAACCCGGACGATCGACGAAGCACACCAGTCCGATAGGATTACGTTCAGCTTCCAAACTGTAGCGCGTACGTCAGTCAACTGAAATGATGAAACTAGACAAACATCCTTACATATACTAGGAAATAACCAGTTAGATGTGTCGGCTCTCCCCAGTTACAAATTATTTATGATTCTGTTAGCCTCGATAAGATGGGAGTCACTTCTGTCGATTTTCTACTTAAGTTCTTTGGAAATAGAGAGTAGCTAGACAGTTGTCGAAGGTCAATCAAGATCCTTCTTAAGGTTAAGCAAGTCTGCTACCTAAGCAACACTGATCGAACCTCCCTGTTCTCCCTCCACCATGGCTGCCACCTTGACGTGGTTGTCGGTATTGCCTATTGTGATGACTTAAACGAGCTGTGTTGGCTGGAACACATGTTCCCTTAGGTCCTGTCATGCCAGGCAGGTTTGTTGGAGAACGTTGAGATTAAAAGCAGCAGATTAGGATCCAGGTGCGAGGTCGTGCTGCTGACTATAGAGCGTTGTGACAGTAGTATGGTGTTGCTCTTTGACAATCAGCATCTGCAATAGTTCTATCTTCTTACAACAAAAGGAAGGGGTTAGAAAAGGTCAACTCTAAGAATATCACATCTCGGTTTACTCCACAAATTTTCATTTCCGACAATAGGGCGTTCTGAAGTGCGGATCTAACTCACTAAACGTTGTTCGCGAGTGGCCTGAAGTAGTTGTTCCCTGTGCTCTACGGTCACGCTCACAAGTAGCTAAGGTCACCACAGAACTGGATTCTTTATTAGGTCCCACAAGAAGAAGTATCCTTCTATGGTTTGGGCAGCTGGGAAGTGACGACCACCCTCAAATCTCCAAGAGCAGCCGAAATCATTTTTTCCACGGTTAAATCCTTCTCTCCACTCTTAATATTTCCCCTGTCTCCACAACCGTTCTCTCATATCTTTATCACTACGCACCACCAACGCTAATGATCTGAGTTCACATAATGTTATTCCTGGTCCCATGAAACCACGCTCCATACTATATGTTGGAGCTTTCAATGCTCGAAACTTTTGTCAGATAGGACAACAGGCTTCTTTACCTGGGACTCTAAAATATTGCTCTATCAATGTATATTGCTTCCCCAAAAAGCGCATATGAAATCCACGTACAGCCATTTATTTAACCTCACCTAGTCGGTGGAAAGAACCAGGGTGATTTACCGTCCGTGTATCCCGTTAGATAGACTTTTGTGTCTTGTCCAGCAACTCACTTACGCCTGTTATACCTCACTGAGGAGCATAGGCCGTCCGCCAAAGTAACAGTAAAAACTCGGGAAGATTTGGACACGCTCCCACTGATTGCAACTCAGATGAGGTAAATATAAATTATAAAGAAAGCTTTCCAACCTCTTTCAAAAAGCTAAGCGCTCAGAAGCAGTAACATTAGCAGGTGATTTCAATGCCCTTGTACGTAGTCTAAACCAAACTGAAAAGCAGTCAAGTGAATCTTACGATGTTGGGGCCCAGAGGACAGATTATGGAGACCGTTTGCTGCAGCTGTGCTCAGATGACATTGTGGACTGTGTTCGCATCACATTTTTCGGAAATAATTTCAGTAACTCATGATTACTTATTTATGATTTTGAACAATTGTCCAGTCTTACTTACCGCAACTGCTATTTTAATGTCTTATCCGTTTGTTGCCTGTCGTCACACACAATCCTTGTGTAGACTTTTTGTCAGCCTGTCTTCAAAATGAAGTTGATTTTTGTAGTTCACCGGATATCCTCGTGTTTATTAACCTTTGGTCATGCTCGTTAACAGATGTCGTGACTAAAAATTATGCCAGCTTATATCAGGATGAACATAATCTACATGGTTGACTAAATTTTTATTGAATCCTACACCGAACCTATTTATTGACCTTTTCATTTTTGGACTTGACTTAAAGAAGGCTTGTGTTTGCATTTATCATCCATCCAGTAAGTGCAGACAAACACGAGCCAGTGATAGACTGTGTGTGGAATCTAGACATATGATCTAAAAGTAGAGACAAACCTCCATTAAGTCTCTTGAAAAACGAATGATAACGATATGGTTTTTTGTGTTCATCGTTATCTTGAATTAGGAGATCATCAGCTTACAGTTAGTTCTTGTTGTAAATAACTCGTTGTCCAAGAATAAATGAAGCGACTGGTCACTTTGATTTGCTCACTGGACTGAAAAATCAAAAAACCTATCTAAGTGTTCTTTATGTCCATTTAGCTTATCTACTCAGGCGTTAAAATTGGCAGTTAAGAATACAATACCTGAGGAGTTGGCTTTCTGGAGGTCGGAAATATTTAGAAAGAACTTTAACTCTATGTAAGATGCAGTCGGCGATGGCATATGCAGAAATGATGAAGAGGTGTTTTATGAACTCAAACGCTTGTAGCAGATGAGGAATAATTCGAAGTCAGAATATAGTTTATGACAGAAATAGAAATATACTAAGAAATAGGATTTAGTTACGAACAAGATTAGCTCAAGTGTCGTCAGAGGTATGTGGGCAGTTGTCAGTTTCAGGTTTCCCAGGCTACTTAAGTATGTTTATTCACGAGATACCTGGAAAGAAAACTGGGTCAATAGTCGTCTGTCTTGAGAACTTAGAGGGCGACCATAGAATCTAAGAGAGGGCTCCTTGAGGCAAGTCACATGCAGCTTTGTGAGTTTTTGATCCAATACCTTCGTACTTTCAAGCTTTGCCCCTGAAGAAGGATATATGTGGGACGATATGAGGTCTGCTTATTTGAAGGTGAGCTTTTTATAACCGTCTTGTTTTGTTGTTGAAGGGCAGTGCTGATGGAGGTGCTGGTTATCTAAGAAGAAAATCTTACTATCATCAAATAGCAGTACTGTCAACAATATGACTTCATCTTCGGATAATAGGTATGTTGCTTCTAGTCTTACCACTTCCCATCGATCTTCTTGGAATGGATCAATTGTTCTAACTACTACTATAGCTCAATTGAGTCATCACGATAGCCAACCAGTATATAACTGGAGTCTAGAAGCAATTTGGTTTATCGTTGCATTAATGTCAGCGATCGCCTGTTCAACGTTTGTCCTTACTTTGGAAGTTAATAATGACTATTAATAAGTGGTTATATGAACGAAAAAGCATAAATACAATCGACATCAATTATGTGAGATTTCAAAGATACCCATGCAAATGTGTTTCCGTTTATCAAGACCTATTTGCTTGTGATTCCATATCGCCTGCTGATATGACAGCATCTATTAGAATAAAACTGAATGCTCTCAGGAATAATCATCCCTGACTTTGATGAAACTCTTCTCAGTAGTTGGAGAACTGTAGAGATAAACAATGGGACCATGGTGAATTACTGGACTTTCAAAAACATATCTAATATTTTGTAATTTCTTGACCTGTACAGGTTTGTATTATGAACTCAGTCTACAATACACTCCCATAAAATTTGTGATGAATCGGTGAACCATGTTAACAAAGAGGTGAACTCGAGAATTTGACTGAAAATTTATAAATTATTTACCTTTGGACTGATTTGCTCCCATCAGGTATATTAATTCATTCTATCAAAAATAAACCTGTTAGAAGGTTCGTTGACCCCGATCAAATAGATGCTACGGTTCTATTAGGCAATGAGACAGATTAAATGTTGTCTTCAGAACAACTTAAGTGAGAACTTATTATAGTTCTTATGTGTTATCCACCTGTCAGGTGTAGAATGGATGCCTGAGAGGGATCTCAACTACGGTAGTCTTGTGACTTTATCGACAGAAAGATTTCAGGGGAGCGTACTTCTTTTAATGGTTTTCTCAAACGAATTTACCATGTTACTGAAACCTGCACTCGAAATTAAGACCGTGTATTACTATTTATGGTGAATTTCGATGCTTACTTTGCTCTTATTTATCTACTCAACCATATCAGTCTAGTATTTAATAATCAGTAATTATTTAAATGTTAAAATATCGAAGCGAGGTTGCTTCTGAAAACTATGACTGAAAACATAGGATGCACTTTGCACCTGTTAAAGAAAAAGGAAAGACCTTAAGACTGCTATGAAAACGGAATAATTTTTGTAGCAGTTAAACACAATTATCATCGTAATACGCTGAGATGTATAAACATGTCTGTGAAGAATCACACACTAAATATGAAAAGCTTGGTATATATTTGTGGGTACTGATTTAAAATATTACTTAATTCCCGTAAAGAAACAAGCAAACAGAGCAAAAGTGAGCGCCTTAATTATTTAATGATGAGAACCTGCCATTATTTTATTATTTATTTATTTAAACACATAAATATTGGTACAAGGAAGCACCAGATAAATATGCGCCTCACAAATCTCATTCGATTTGTGTGAGGGCTGAGATACTGCCCAGGTGCCCAGACTGAAGCAGGTGGTTTTCTTAGAGGGCCACACCCCGAGCCTTTGACCTTAATGTCTGATCCACAAGGCAGTGGAGAATCGTGAGGAGATGCAGTCCCATGGTAGCCGGTGATCAACGCTTGATTCGTACGCCATTTGTTCCCTCAGGATACTGGAGCCCATGTGCACCACTGGTTTGGAATCAGGGTTTTCCAACTCCCCTAGGTGAACTTTCCATGTCCACCAACCCGGTTAAATCGCCGGACATTCGCTTTTCGTCCTCTCACTTTCGTAAACAACATCCCCGCCACGAGAAGGCAGTGAGTAGGACTTCCCTGGCAGAGGCTATATATTCGCTGGCCATATGAGAGCATTTCGAGAGGGAGAGGTGACTCTCCCCACTCTCGGCCGTACCAGGGCATTTGGGGGCTTTACATATGCAGAGCTTCAGGCAAAGAAATAATCGCAGACATATTGTTTTATATAAAGCATTGAGTGTATATTCATATTGATGGTTAATAATAAAATTGAGAGATTAGAACCAACACACTCACTTTCCAAGGCCTTGGAGACATGAAATATGCAGCCGGAGTTTCAAGGACCGTACTGAACTAGAAGTATTGAAAGTATTAGAAATATGAAAAAGCTCACAAAAAACTAATGGCAATAAGATGTAGCAAACTATAAGTACAATTTGGTTCGAATAGTTTAGAAACTTACCGAAAACTAAGGTCAACCACGTGACAGAAAACAAGACCTAAAGATTTATTATCAAGCGGTTTCATGGAAAAACTGATCGCCTATTTTCAATAAAATACACCAAAGGGGTGATTACTAATAACTGAGGACCATTATGCATACATGTGATTGCTGTGAAATATGTAGTTTGCACTCTTCATGTTTAACACTAATCGTCATGTTTTTGACATCACTCATATTGCATAATATAATATCAACAGTAGTTTATCAGAGACAAGTCTTTTTATTCAGCTTTAGAACTTACTTTGTATGGTAATGTTAGTGATAATAGCCAGATGATCACTTATAAGTAGGGATAATATATTTGATAGTCCCTGTATTCGAACTCATGTCCACCAACTTTATTTTGGGGAGCCGGCTAGTATCATTGGTCAACTCACCGTGTCCCAGAAGGCTAAGTAAACAAACGTTCGGACGATATACTAATCAGACTTTAAATCTAGTCAATATATTTTTATTCGTACTACTGACGTGGTTTAGTAAATAAAGAGACAATAGGGTTTAAGATTAACTTTTTGATACAGAACCAATGAGTATCGAACTAACAATATGGTACTTGAAAATTCCATAAGTAAATATCTCCTATTCGTTGGTAAAAAGCCCTCTACGAGGAATTCCCGGTAAAAAAAACTGGTCTCAATTTAGCTGACCAGTATTCACAAATACTGTGCCATTTGTATGTTGGTATCCGGATAGATTTCTAAGTATTCGCAACTATAATAACAAAGAAGAACAGCTACTGGTACAAACTTAAAATAAACTGTTGTATTCGCCAGGTGAATTGTGGCTTATGTGCTATTAAGTTAGCTGGAATGTATACAACAATCACCGTTATGTGATTAAAAGTACAACAAAATGGAATAACTCACTTTCCCATGTAATATCAAGGAGATTAATATTATCTTTTTTGCAGCTTCAATCAGAATACAGCTTGATGATACGGCAGGGATAATTAAACACTAAAATTATATGCTTTAAATGAACAGGAAATTTACCAATTCAAAAAAGTGTAGGCTTCTTTCCCAATTTTTTACTGCGCCATAAATCATTCCTCCATAGTAAAAGTATAGGAGATAATCTTTAGCTTCAAGGGCTGTACTCTACATGAACTGGTTATCACAAACGTGAAAAACATACGCTTTTATCAATTTCTAAAATATCAATATCGAGAATTGAAAGAGTGGGACTAAACATTCTAGCAGCTAATCCAAGCTGCACACCATGTACATACATTAGCATTTACCTGGCATAGATCACAGTGTAGTGGAGTAAGATACCCCGGACATTTCTGAAGTTTGTGAATAGCAGTGACTATACAACTGATTCCCTTTTGTGGAATCCCCATATTAATCAGGCAGTTCGTAAATTCATGTGAAATTACACGAACTAAATATTAGTTACAAACAAGATACCTACCATAAGATGGAATTTTTTGCAAAGACTCTGAGTTACAAAGATTGAAAAGGTTTTGAGTTTGGATTACTAGCCACTCTTTATCAACAACTGACTGTGAAATATATTTGGCATGTCTGCTGTAAGTATGAAATAGTTGACAACTAACATTACAGCTGCATGTAAAATTCCGAATTTAGCAATATCAAAGTCATCCAAAATAAAGTCTAATGAGTGGACATTACGAATCAGAAATTCTTGAGACTTTTCTACAAGTTCACATAATGCATTTGCAGATCCTACAACATAAAATGATTAATAAAGCTCACCTGCAGTTTTGTTGACTGCGGAAGAAAAGTTGCTTAATGATCCGGACACCATTAGACAGATATCGCGAAGAAAATGACGTCTATAGAATATAAACGTAAATTGCTTTTGAGATGGGGTTGCAGGTGAAATGACACTGTGTTAAATAACTAATACATTTACTGTACAATCAAATACTTTATGTTGTTTAAATCTGTAATAACAACACAACACAATTTTATACTGCATACTCCAAATTCGAGTTTCTGCTTGTGTCTTGTCAAATTTTTAAACCTACTGGGATTAGTTGCATTTCGTTAATTTATTTCAAATCCACAAATATTTGTCAGGAATTTTAGGAATGATAATAATCAAATAGGCAAGCAAAAAACATAACTATTGTTTCATAACTACCAGCTTGAACTAACAATCTAATATAGTCATTAATATCCAGTTACTCATAGGTGAAGTATAACGTGGGATGTGTTAGCGTCCGTTCAAGTCACCACACCACATCAACACAGAGAGATGAGACAATTAGGATGTATAACACAGCAGTATATGCATCAGGTTTGGAAAAAAATAGATCAAACACAGATGTGCTGAAAAGGAATGAATTTTTGAAATAACAGGTAAAAGCAATTTCAAAACTCAAGATTTAAGGGAAGATCAAAAATGAAAGCATCTCTGTCACTGTAACCAGCTTTGAGATACGAAATTCAACGTCTCCAAACCCTGACCACTTATCACGTGTACCCTAACCGGATTAGTCTGAACCTACTAATATGGCTTAGCATAACAGTCAATAACTTGATGGATTGATATCATTTCTAGGTTTAGCCGCCCACAGCTCCCTTTTCACTTACTCCTACTCCAGCTACTATTGTACATTAAATTAGGCGGTGGTTGAACATACGTAATACATACCCGAACCACCTTGGAAGATGAGGATTTAAAATATTACCAACCAACTTGCCATCTTTCCCAAGAGACCTGAGTTTAACTTCACAATTACTCACTCGACGGTCTCGACATACGCGAGCAATGCCTTGAAGACGCCTATAATCAAATACTAGTAACCTACGAATTTCCCACACTTCTAAAAACGAGGTTTCAAAGCTGTGACAAACCAAATCACTGTTCAGTATACTCGAACTTTGGTTGGACAGATATTTCGAGTACATCAGAGGTAGGTGACCGAAGTTGGTAGCATCCAAGAGGGCTGCTGCTGCATCAACTTTAAAATTTTTGGAAAAATACTCATCTCTGAAGGAATGTAACGAGTAAATTTAATAGAAGTGGGGAAAATAGGTAACCCTGAGTAACGTTTGATGTTACCAATTATGATGACTGTTTGCTGTAACACTTGACCTCACTAGCAGTGTTAGACCAAAAAGCATTCAAAAGGTTTTTATACCTATTTAGTACACCTTTTCATGATCGAAACTACCATAAAGTCTGTCAGTCAATGTATTAGGAGATGACCACTATAGTCTGGCGCTAGTAGGTACCTAATGTCGTAGTACGTAATGAAGGATAAATATTTGATCGATACATCTGATTCCGGGTCTAAAGTTGGCACAGTTTTCCACAATTTGTTGTTCATGAGTCCTAGTTTGGAGTTACACGATTACTAAGGCCAATACTTTAGACATGATATGAGTAAAACTGATCCTTCTGTGTCTATCACAAGAGGATTTGGTTTCTTTACTGTAAACTGAGATGACTAGCGATTGAGAACAGCCAAATAAGATTACTGTTATAACTTGTGGCTTATGTGCCCTGTTAATGTATAACTTGATAATACCGCCAATTAGAGAGCAGTGATTTATCGACCGGAACAATGACGCATAAAACCTGTGCGAGAAGTATAAAGTACTTATCGGTTCTGCTTTCTGCCTAGCCAAGTCAGATAAGTCCAGAACACCAATCTCAGCCTCTGCGGCATGAATCGTTTATATCAAACATACTGGGTTTATATACCAACCAGACAGACCACATCGTACCATAAAATAGGAAACAACATTTGTACAATATTTAGCCAAATGTGGCCGTGAATGTGGGAAACGGTAATTAAAAGACTGGGGATAACTCAAGAATGGTAAATTGCATAATAATAGTTCATAGGTCAAAATAAAGCACATAATAAAAATGAAATGAATATAAATAGTTTAGTTATTTAACAATTATACGATGAAAATATAGGCATGTTACTTACCCATAAATGGATCTCAAAAGTTACCACTCATTATTCTTATCGAGATATAACAGTTACGATTAGTAAAAGTAATATTAGTTGACTCTAGGAGTAATTTACAACAAATCTTTAAACCATATCTAGATTAAACATCACGACATTTAGAAGTGATATTATAGAGCAGAGGTCAGAAAAGTACGAGAAAAATACTGTAAGAATGAGACTAAATGTAGAAATATAAGCTCACCATACAAAAATCCGAAGGAAATTAGTCAGCTGTACAGAAGAAACTCCAAACTCATTAAGTAAGAAGCAATACCAAAGAAGTAACTTTCAGGTTGTGGTATGTTGGAGATTCTTACTTGTTTATTTGAACACAAACATTGGTATAAAAGGGCGACAAATACATATGCGCCACACAATGACAATGAAAATGTTAAGAGATGGAGAATGTAAAGTACGAATAAGAAAAAAGAAAACAATAAAGAGCAGAAATCAGTGTATGATAGTGAAACAATGATAATAATGGAATAGCTCAGTTAGCAAAGGTACGACCATAAATAACTCTTCCAGTTAAAGAAGTTATAACCACTTCTTATGAAGAAAGTAAAATAAAGTTACAGCAGGATCGCCACTGACTTCTATTCTGAGCCATGTCTAGTAAAGTCTCTAGCCACTGTGTTGCACCATCTCTCGGACCCCAACCAGGAAGTCGGGAAGGAGCGACAGAAGTCAGCCCTTTGCAGCTTTCTTTCATACCACGACACCATGTCATACACTGACCACCTCTCCGCCTTTTACAATCAGTCCCAGAGTCGGCAAATAATGCACGACGTGGACTTCTCTGAGACGACATTCGTAGAACATGTCCAATCCACCGAAGTCGATGTTTCAAGATGGTGACACCAATGGGATTATCGTCTCTGTGCCCGAACACTCGATGCCGAACCTCTGCATTACTAACATGGTGTTGCCACTGGATGTCAGCAATCCTTCGGAGACAACGATGATCAAACACAGAGAGGCGTCTAACATCCTCAACTCGGAGTGGTTAGGTTTCACAAGCATAGAGCAAAACTGCTCTCACCGACGCGTTGTAGTTTTATTTATTTATTTATTTAAACACATATATATTGGTACAAAAGGGCGCCAGCTACACATGCGCCACACAAAATAATTTGTGTGTGGGCTGTGATACTGTCCGGGTGCCCAAACCGAAGCAGGTGGTTTTCTTAGGGGACCACACCCCGAGCCTTTGACCTAAAGGTCTGATCCACAAGGCAGTGGAGCATCGTGAGGAGATGCAGTCCCATGGTAGCCGTTGACCAATGACAGGTTCATTCGCCATTCGTTCCATCAGGATACTGGAGCCCATGTGCACCATTGGTTTGGAATCAGGGTTTTCCAACTCCCCTAGGTGGACCCTCCGTGTCCACCAATCCGGTTATAGCGCCGGACATTCACTTTTCGTCCTCTCACTTTCGTAAACAACACCCCCGCCACGAGAAGGCAGTGAGTAGGACTTCCCTGGCAGAGGCTATATATTCGCTGGCCATGTGAGAGCATTTCGAGAGGGAGAGTAGACTCTCCCCACTCTCGGCCGTACCAGGGCATTTGGGGGCGTTGTAGACCCGACCGTTTACAGCCAGACTAACATCACGAAGGTGCCTAAGGTGGCCCAGATTGGCATAAGCCGCTCTGGCTTTCACTATACGTGAATCCATCTCACCACTCACGCCACCACCAGCACTTGTGCAGCTACCTAGATACACGAACTTCTCGACTACTGCAATCTGCTCACCACCCATGGTGAGTACAGGATTAGAATCCTGCCAGTGTTGTAGAAGTACTTTGCACTTCGAAGGTGCAAGTCATATACCGTACCTATGGACACTGATTGCCAACTGATTAAGTGCGGATATCAAGGTCGAGAAGTCTTTCTCTAGGTAACAGATCCACACCATTATTACATGCAACCGTCAGAGCTGTTTCCAGAACGTCATCGTTAGCAAAGTTGAAGAGGAATGGTGAAATTGACCAACCCTGTCTAACCCCACTGCTTGAATGGAACAATGGTGAGGTGTGGTTGTATGCCTTCACTTTGCTTGAGTTGTTTGTATATAGGGCTTTTAAGATGTTAATAGGCTTCTCAGGCACACCCTTCTTCAATAGACGATCCCAGAGAACAGTCTTATCCAACGAATCGAGAGTGGCCCTAATGTCAAGAGACACTACTATTGTCGGTCTGTAATAAGTATGACGGTGTTCTAACATTTTGTGGAGGGTGAAGATACGGTTAATAGATCCTCAACCAAAACGAAAACCAGCTTGCTCCTCACGAGTCAATCTTAATGTGGTATTAAACAGTCTACGAAGTATGACAGAAGTCAATATTTTGGACGCAGTCGAAAGTAGACTCATCCCCCGCTAATTGTTACAGCGACGACGTGAAACCTTTTTAGAGATAGGAACGATTATCGATTTGTTCCACAACTTTGGAACAATCTCCAGCCCCCAGAACTTTGTAAACAACTCAGTCAACTCCTTAGCCAGAAAGTCACCACCGTCTTTAAAAAGAGCCAGTGATAAGACGACTGGGCCCGGTGATTTGTAGCGCTTCAAGGGTCGGAGTTCTTTGCGGACTTCCGCCTCATTTGGTGGATCGGTCGTTACAGGACAATCTGATCGATGTCGCCGGAGCAGCAGGTCAGTCAAATTGTTCTTCAAAGAATTTTGCCCATTGATCAAGATGCCGATGGATGTTAGTGATTGGCATACCGTCATCTTCACAGATTGTTTCGCTCACACCAGACTTCTTGCTGCCAGTGACTTGGATAAGTTGAAGGAGCTTTCTGAAGTTACCAGATACAGCTGCTGCTTCCATCTCATTGGCATGCTCCGATCACCAGGCTTTTCGGTCCTTACTCAACCTTTGCCTAATTTCGTTACGTAACAGTCGTCGTTTGTGGTCAAACTCGCGGTCAATCGGAGTAGACCGACGGGCTTCAGTGAGTTGTAAGGAGCCTGAAGAAATCCAGTGCTTATAAGCGGGACGTTTCGCGAAGCCGCAAGTGACTTTACTCGCCATTTTCATGGCGCCATGCAATCGCAACCAATGCTTATCTATACTTTTCGGTGGAATGGTAGCTAACCTTGAATGTAGCTCGGTTTGATATTTAGTTGCAATAGAAGCTTCAACCAATCTATTGAAATCGATCCGTTTAGGACGATGAATTTACCGGTCACTGAAACGTAAAGCGAGATTAACGTAAGCAAGGTCATGATCAGAGTCCAGATAGGTACTCACAAAGGAGCGGCAGTCTTGTAAGCAACAACGCCAGCGGCAGCTGATCGCAAAACCAGAGGAAGATGCTACAAGGTACCCGGATAAATGCACGTAAGACGAATTTTTTGAAGCGACAGATGGATATCAAACTTGTAGTACTTTACTAGAGTCTTGAATGTGTCTCGTATAGACAACAGACATCGATTTTGAGACTATCTATCTATAGCCAACTCTATCTGTTGTCCGATCTGCATTAGTGTGCGAACATTAAAGGAAGCCAGTTTGAATGGCATACGTGGTTTCAGAAAGACTTTCAGTGTTTGTATTCGGTGGCAGCATTCAACTTTCGACCAGTCAGTGACTCGAGATCTTTTAGATAGAACAGGGTTCCCACCACAGGCGACCTGCTGTATAAGTTGGAAAATAAGAATATGCAAAAGTGAGAATAGAAAAGAGTAGATAAGTGATGTAGTATATAAAAAAGCAAAAATGAATGTGAATTGTCCGAATTTTAATTGAAGCTATAATAGTATTTTCAATATTAATTGTCATTTTTTTTAATTTGTGTATGGGCTGTGATACTCCCCGAGTGCTCAGATCGAAGCAGGCGGTTTTCTTAGGGGGCCACACCCGGGGCCTTCGATCTAAAGATCTAATCCTTAAGGCCGTGAATCAGCGTTAGAGATTCCCCACACCACGTAAAACAATCGACTTAACTATGTATAGATCAGGGAAATTAAATAAAACCACACAAGGCATTCCTTGAAGAGTAAGAACCAACAAGTGTATTTAGGTATCTGGAGTAGAAGAGGAAATCTCAATGGTGTCCAAATATAAGTGTATTTATCGTTACCCTCCATCATGACATAACAGTAACTGAGTGAATGAATAATAATGAAGTTGTCATGGCATGAAGTTTAGTATAACCAATATCAAAGTAAAAGTCATTTAGTCATGCAGAGAAATACCAAGTACCTATAACCGTAAAAACTTGCAAGTCAATTAACGTACAAAGAATTCCTTTGTGATAGGTTCGGTATTTGAAAGACGCTTTGAAAACAAGGCTAAAACATTATTATGAGTCTTTAAATGAATCGAGAATTTAGTCATACACAGGTGTTTTAATACTTTAACCCAAAAATGAAAAAAAATCCATAATTAAGACGCGTGATATTTTTCGATTAGCACCTGGTGAGTTTCGAAATGAACCATTTCGGTCAAATATTTGGAATGATGGAAGTACGAAAGGCGTTAAAATATTAAACGGAATCGACTAATCCTGAAAAACTACATTCATGAAATAGAAGTACGGAATAATATTCAGCACACTTGAAAAGTGAATGGACCAAGGCCAGTGCTGAGATTAAAAAAAATCCTATGCATTAAATTATTGACTATGACTAAGGGCTGACACCAAAAGTCTAATGTGCATGAAGATTGACAAGTGCCGAATTCCTAATCTGACAATGACCAAGAATCAGGGACTACATGGACAGGTGTCGTCTCGTGCAAATGTATACAAAACAGTTAGGAAATGGCCATCAACACTCGAATTGGGGTTAAACAAACCTTGAAAAATCGAAGTAAGCTCACCACGATTATCCCGAGTTAGAAAGTATACTTCGTACTGCAAACGACCCTGAATACGACTACGCGCTCAAATATTTTTCCAATATCCAATTGTAGCGGTTGACGTCTAGTCAGAAGGTACTTGTGGGCCAGGTAAGCATACTGAATAGCGTGATTGGGGAGAACTGGAGACGTGAAGAATGGAGAAGAGTTAAGTCAACTACCTGGCAAGCGAACATAATCCACCAACATTTGTTAAGGAATGCACTCAAAAACAATTAGAAATGACATAATCCTCAGATTAAGACAATCTTGGAATCGAAACTAAAAACCCTTTCACTACATTGGCATCAAGTGTCTTTGTCACAAGCTCGTTCAAAGCAACTGATTAATTTGTGATAGCTTTTGGTTGTTTCAGCAAGGTTTCAAGTATCAGGTAATGTAGAATGAATGGTAATGTAGCTACTCGACTGCAATAATTTCAATCAGTTTAGTAGTTATTTGTGAATTTGTACTTCTAACAATTCAAGCGAGCTCCGTTGTCTCATAGGGGTGTGGATCCTAGATATAAGAAGCTATAACATTAACAGGCTGGATGTTGGTTGTTCCCAATTTGAAAAATAATAAAGCGAGTTTTTGAAGACTAGTAAATGATTGTTTCAAGAAACAAACAAAAACGTTGATTAATTGGTGATGCAAACAGTGTGAGTGGATCGAATTGGAGGAATAAGGGAGAAAACAGATGAGGCGATATATGGATTGTGATAACAATAGTTAAAATGTGAGACATTCATCAAACAGCCTGTCAAAGCAGGAGATTGAAATCCTTGGGTCAGTACGTGTTTATCAAGTCTATTCATAAAGGTATCCGCTGAGAATGCTGTGATTGGGGCAAATCCCAATGAGAAAAAGTGGGAGCGTACCTGTGTTTTTGCTCTCTAACGCGCAACTTTTCGAGGTCGTCTGGTGGAACGTAATAGTGACATCCTGGTGGAACGTTCGTGTCCGTGTGAGATGGCTTACTTAATATTCTGCTTGCCATTGAAAGGTCACTGTAGGAAGCGATTTCCTACAGATGCAACTTTAAGCTATTGTTTTACAGTGAACATACAATTGTGATGGGTGGATAAACAAGACATAGTCCTAAAAGGTCGAAGAAGGTTAGTGTGGTGGTGAGCGTTTCACTTTATCATTGGTGTGTTCGTTTATCGATCTCACTTTTCAGTCACATCTTATTTTTATAGCTCAGCAAAAGTAGGCCCTAATTGTTGGAATGCGTCCTCATAAGATTTATGTTCTAGCTCTATCTCTCACTTGATTGCTTGTTTTTGTTCTTCGCCTAAATGATTGATATCTATGATAATGAAGGAAGCGCAGCGACATTGTGAACTTCAAGACAGGTTTGTGCTTGCGTTTCCAACAGTGTTAGGAACAGCCCTGGGATGATTGCGTTAAGTTATTTTCTCATAAAGTGATGAGTTGCATTTGCTTTGACAGAATGTTCACGACATGACATTTCCACAGGTTAAATTCCAACTCGTTGTCTAATGTCCATTTCTCTGTTGTAAAGTCTTTATGAAGCTCAGGTAAATCCTCTTTGTTTTTTACGGATCTGTATCAACTTGAGTTGGATGTTCGAGAGTTGGCTGATGACATCATGGTACTGCCAAAACACCACGGCTCAAGTATCTGCTTACTTCCTTATCTTGCGTAGGTATGGTAACTCCTATTATCCCTCAGTGAATATGGAAGACCTTTTGCGTTGGCAATGTTAACCTCGAGATACAACTGCTCTGTTCCACGACCTGAATGAAAACGCACTACAACCACCAATCTGACTTCTTCCAAATAGAAAATTGGGCATAAATACCGGCATTAAAAAACCGAAAGTCCTTTCCTTCGTCTATATGGATTCGTTTCATTAAAAAGATCAGAGACGGGAGTGAGTTTAAATTTTTTCTCAGTGGGACTATTGATGTCGACACCCTCGTGATCGTATTCACTCTATTCACCTTGATACCAAACATCCCGTTATCTGTATGGTTTTGTAATAGAGGTCAGTGAATCCTATCTTTGCAACCCTCTCTATGAGAAGTACGTGCTCTACAGTGTTCGAGTTATTTATGATTTCGATAAATATTCCATGAACCAGTGTCTTTAGTCCCAGCAAATAGTCTTGCTGTCGCACACTATGAGTCTGGTTTTAACGACTGCAAAAATCTTTCGAATTTGACAACAAATTCGTATCTCTATTACCCAATTCATGCTATCTTGTACGTCTATTTCGAACAGCTAGAATAAAATGCACTAAAAGGGATGTATGTGCGTGTTGAATTTCCGACAGATCAAGAGTTTATCGGATAATTTTGGAGGAGAACAAACCTCAGGGTCATAGACACAATGATGATCAGGAATTCGCAATGACAATGTAATGGTGTATGAAATTGGTTTGTACCTATTTGTTTTTAAAAGAATTATTGACAGTACGCATCTCAAGCATGTTAGTTTAGTGAATATAACCTATAAAAGTGAATATCAGTTCATTCGTTTAGAAATACTGTGTAGTCTTCAAAACATCTTCGAAAGAGGCATCGCGTTCATGTTACACACCAGATCCAATTTCAGCACAATTGTATTAGGATCTTGTTCGTGCTAATTATTTATGTAATGCAACTTTTTAAGTTTATAGTTGTTATAAAGTAGGCTTGTGAAGCACTTGGTGCAAACTATGACCATGCGGAGGCACCTGCGTCGTGTTTGTTCCAGCTGTCAGGAGTTCCTGAACTTCAGAATAGATTACGAATAAATGACGAGCAATCAGTGTCACAAAAGGAACTGAGACTACTTAACCGTATAATAACTGTTATAGTGAACATCGTTAATTTCACTGTTTGGATATATTTGTTTCACTCGAATTTTGAACTTGTTGGTTCATAACTTTGACCATATAAATCTTCAGTTTCACATTGTTTCGGATTGCTATTTTGAAAGTTTTGCTCTGGAAACCCAAAACTTGAAAGTTCGTTGTAATCGCTAATCGAACAACATATTTGGGTTGATTACTTGTAATATACGAGTGGAGTTTGTCAACCAAACCATGTTTTCTCGTTATTCATGCCCTAAGTTATGAGCGTATCCTTCAATCGTGCTTCAGCAATGGACTGCAGCGAAATTTGAACGTCACATAAAAGGCGAAAATTCGCACTAATCTCAAAATCTTAAGCCATACTCGGCATTGTTTACTAAATTTATCCCCGAAAACATTGCCCTTTGTGTTCTTCAATGGGGACCTAATCAACTCTTATCTTGTAGACTGTTGACGTCCGTGATAACGTTTCAAACGAACAGTTTTTACTTCATACGGGTTAGATGTACAGGTGGAACATATTTGGTGGACCTCGTGCAATCCTATGTTAATAATGATGAAAGTGACAAACGGTCCACTACAAATGTTGAATCCTCTGACGACAGATTATAATGTGTATGTGGTCATCTTGAAGACGGTTTTTGGCCTGAGCCCAGAAAACATTGCGTTATATTACCGGCGGAGTGTACAATTACGGATTTGATTTTGCGGTATTATCACAAATAAGGACATGTTAGTGCTACAGAGGTGAGAGTAACAGTTCGGGAAAGGCTTTGGTTAATAAAAAGGTGACAGTGTCACTAGTAGAGTGATAAAAGGCTGCATCTATTGCAGAAGAAGGGACGATCGGAATGATTTCGAGGCTATGACAGAAACCACGCCGTTGTTATTGCAAGAGGAAGTAACAGGGTTAAGTGACACTCCATCAAACAACAAGTGTTCTAAAGGATAGGGGCAAACGAACTGTTTGAGTACTGAAAGCAGTGGTTCAAACAATATCTTCTATTTACAACTCAGATTTGACAATTACTGACATGGATACCAACGATCAACAGAATAAAAGTTCGTTCAGCTCTCTATTGAGAGCACAAAGAACAATTATTCCGGGAATACATTAATGAACAACACCGTGTGTGACTTTTTAATTTTGAAATTAAGAAGTGTTCTTCGTGCTTATTTCTCTTCACGTACTTTCATCCCAGTGAAGCAGTCTGAAGGAAAACATTTTTCATTTCGTGTGTTCACACAGACTTTTTCCTGAATATATATAAGGAAGATTATTTGATATTGTTACTATTATCATTTGAAATTTTTCCTCAGGACTGAAGGAGCTTACGTATCAAACTATTCATGTTCGAGAGAAATTCGTCTTCAAAGGTTCCGAAAAATGTGCGGGATATCGCACTCTATTTTTAAAATAGTGCAGTCTATTGGTCAGCTTTGTCTGAATAAAGTAATCCGAAGATCACTAGAACCCATAGCATTGAAGTTATTCCAACAAGTGAAAACCTTAGGCCGCTGCGAACTAGATTGGTTCACTAGAAGCATCCTTGATCGATTTTCTGATCCCGAAGATAATCGCAAGCGGTCATTATTTCTTCAGAAGATCATTTCACGACAGGGTTCTTCTTTACCATGAGAATGAAAAGCTGTGACTAATCTCAGCATATCCAGAGACTCAGAAAATCGGGTCGCAGTTGTTAAAATATTGTAAATTTCTATGTCTAAAAATCACTGTCACTAATCCAGGAAGCTATCCTTCCACCATTCTTCGGCGCCATCAGCAGATGTTGAGTTCGGCGGTTTTTCACATGTCACACATGTAATTATGGTATTCCGGTGTCCCATCGATGATACCGAAGATGCTGAATTCCGTCGTGCAAAAACGAATAACTTTTAGACAAACACGTGTTCAAACCACGGTTGGATAAGGTAATCCTAATCACCACACAAGGAAAAATATATTTGTTTCAACGTTGGTTAACGCAAGTTTATTAGCTGCTTATTCGCTGTCGCTGGGCTGCACAATGTATTCTATGATACAAGCAAAAGTGAGGAAACATATAGAAACTATTAGTTGCAATCTAACGACTGGGTTGATTGGGAAATTTTATGGAATTTAGCCTATTACTGAGAAATCACCACGGTCATTCAGACAAAACTAGTGGTTGAAATGGACACTATACAAATATTTACCGACCCATAAACATAACTTCACTGGTGTCTAGGGTGATTGAAAAAGTAGTTAAGGCAGCTGTAGTCTAACACCTAATTACTAATAATTTCATCTCGGTCTCCTAGCATGGAGTTCTTGGGTCCAGATCATGTGATACATGCCTAGTAAACTGCATGAATGATATAACTCTGAAACGAGACAACGAACTCCTTGTATCAGTCCTATTTTTAGACATTAGCAACGCTTTTGATAAAGTCCCATACAAAAGGCTCCTAGTCAAACTGCGGTCCTTCGGAATCAACAACCCGTTCTATTCATGGTTTGTTTCATTCCTAACGGAGTGTAAACAAATGGTAAAGTACAATGGCTATCTCTCATCACCTAGATCAATAACTAGCGGAGTCATCCGGGGAAGTGTATCAGGTCCACTCGTGTTTCTTATGTATATACACGATATATATCTAACATCATGAAACTTGGCAACCATACTTACATGCTGATGATCTCAAAATAGTATTAAGTTATAAGACTGGGGCTGTAAGTGAAAGTCTATCCCTGATTCAAAATGATTTCAATAACCTAACTATCTGAAGCGCAAAATGGCAATTATCATTTGACCTCAACAAGTGCGGGATAATGCATGTTGAGAAGCGTCCCTGTGAACTACAACTTTACTCAAATAAAACTAAAGTCCAGTCACTTAAATCAGCACAATGTCTAGGAATTAATTACACTGGAAGCCTGAACTTTGAAAAGCATGCCTCCTCTACTATTTACAAAGCTAGACGGTTAATTTGTTTCATAACGAAAACTTTCTTTACAACAGATGCTAAGCTTACACTTTACAAAATATGAATATGACCTTCCCTTGAATACTTCTCTTTTATCTTCACTGATATGAATACCACAGCCAAGAAAATAATAGATGTTCAAAGACGCTTCACACGCCAACTGCTAGGAAGTGACTCAACTCTCGATTACACAGGTAGATGTAAGCACCTCACTTTAGAACCTTTATGGTACCGTAGGCTAACGAACAATCTGATATTTCTCTACAAAGCAATAAGTGGACTCTCATTCCTAACCTCCTGCCCGAATATGATCCATGACTCAGCCTATAGACTAATAAACAACACATATACACTACATACAGTAAAAAACCAAAAACAATATGTTTCTTACGAAATCCATTTACATTCACATGTTATAAAATGTGAACGCAACTGAGAAATTTTCTACGGTGCAAATTGCATCTTCTGTAGGAACTTGATCTTGCCTGTAAACTGGCATGCCTCATGTAACAAACTATTATTTGAGAATAAATTATTATTATTAACTACTAACGACCAATTTAAAATATATAGGTTGCAACCTGACAGATTAAAAAGTTTCGTCAACAGATAGGCCAAATAAAAGCCTGAAACATCAGGTTGAAAATGAATTCCATGTACCTTGAGGATATATTTCCTTAGGCACACTAAAGTCATAGAGGTTGAACAAACGGAATTCAGTAGGTCCAAACGTAGTTCAACTTTCTAAATGAGTCAACTTCATACTAACTTATTTACTTGGGTTGAACATCACTACTTAGTTGTGGGATTTATCTAAAACGAGTTTAGTATATGGCCACTTGTACTTCCGACGGACCTTGGAAATTTGTCGGAAATCTTCAGGCCGTCCAGAATATAAGCACTTGTAACTGGTCACGCCACAGGCAGGACAATATATATTCTGGAATGCAAGTTGACTTAGCCCTGCAAAATCAAGGAATATGGAAATCAGGCTTGGCTGTATGACGAATTTGGACGAGCATCCCATCCTCAGAATAGCTCAGGGATGCCCTTTCTGCATAACTTACCTGTCAAGGATTGGGATGATTAGAACCTTATCAGTTACTATAAGTGGTTGAACACAATAAAAACAACTTCAGAATAAGTCCCATCACTCCACTCACACTAGGTAACAAGAAATCTGATTGATATGACTTGCTTTTTAAGGGGGATTCGATGAGGCAACACCGTTTGATTCATAAGGTCGGCTAAAATGACCCTGGCGTGCTTATCACAAATACATGTCATTGTAAATCCTATCTCTAGCCTTCCGGTTTAGGAAACAGCAGTAACTTTCAGAAGTTTCATCGACCTTGATTTCAGGTTTCCGTTTTGTTCATGCATACGTCGACTACTTTCCTATCGCAAGGTAAGAGGAACTAGCTTGAAAATCTCAATTTGACATCCAAGAGATTCCTTTAAGTTGGCATAACTTTTAAAATGACAGTGTCAAACTGGAAACAGACCACAAAACAACCTAGAGGATGTCATTAACCCTAGAGGTATTCGTGTTCAGACGAAGAAGATTCGCGAACTCTAGACTATAATGAACTAGTCACTATCAAGAAACCATGAACTTTCAGCAGATTATTAGGTACTATTACAGGTTAACACCTAAAAACGCGTCCCCCATGAAAGAAAAGACTTTATTCATCAGCAATAGTTATCGCACATAATCCTAAAATGTTGAATCTAGGAGACTGTAATGAGCGAAAGCCCGACCACACGGGTCATTGGCCTTCGAATGTTGTTCGATTGTTCGGAGTCTTATGATTGTGACTACACAGAGACGCTAAACTACCCACAACATCCAGAATTTTGAGTTTTACTTCTGGTCAAAGTTGCCGATTAATGCCACTGGTACGGGTGTTTGTTAGTGATGCAAAATAACGACTGTTTGCTACTTGTTCAACAAAACAAGACAGGAGTAGATCGATATAGCGAAGTGAAAATACTGTGGGGTCGAGATTTATTTGTGAACAACCCACTAATTCAAATAACATGAAAAGTAGTTCAACTGAAGTATGCATTGCCTTTACACGTTCCGTCAGTACATAAATTTAAGTGAATTGAATTGACAATTAATAAATAATTTAGTTGCGGTATGAAGTTCACAAAATGAATGGATCAGCTGGCTTGAATATGAAATACAACTGGTCGATAAATTTTATAGGTTTCCCTAACAACAAACAACTATTACGTTAGTCACTGAACTATTTTACTGCATTATTGAGAATTAAAACTTGGAGTACAAACTCTATTGTCCAATATATCAAAACTTCGTAGTGTCTAAATACAGCGAAATTATATCTCGCTGTTCAGTAACTAACAACATTTGCTTCTGCCTTGTCCATCTTAAGTTGATTAGGAGTAGCAGTAAACCTGTTTATAGATTTTAAAGGGGTACTTCTCAGTTTCCAACATGTGTAGAAAAGCTCATGCTGGAAATCAGTGTCTTCACTTGACGACCAAAGGTCAAAGAACGAGAATCCAATGAAAGGGTTTGCGTAATCCCACGTAAGGATTAGTATATCTTTTGCTGTATATGGTTATTGGTATTCCGTTTGCCACCTGCAAGTTGGTGACCGGATTTTGTAGACGGTCATTGGCATTCATGAAAAGGACACTACTTTCTGCGTCAGTGTACCGTGGCGGTATCATGTTCAAGACTCAAGACACTTCGAGATTGCTTTGTGACCATCCATAAGGTCATGTTACGCTCCTACCCAATGAGCATTAAAATTCTAATGAGGATGTTAACATCTGCATTCTATATTCCGCAAACAAAAATTGAGCATCTAAGTTGGTCTGCCGTAATTTCGTTAACTTCAGATCGTTCACGTTCTGCATTACTTTTCCAGCAAATATGAGATAGCAATAATGTGGAGATTCTGATTTTTGAAAACATTGGTGGCGATTACTGAATAATGAGGTTTGTTCTGGAAGTTCAGATGATGTTTGAACTGTATTGTTGAAAAATAGATCCCGATTATTTTGTGACAGGCTGAAATTCACTTTTTTATTATGTTCCCCAGTTCTAATTCTTAGCGGGAGTTGTGTTTAGCTGCCACATTGAGAAATGGGCATTCTATATGGCGCATGTCATCCAAGCGATGAAATCAGGAGACGAATGTGGCGAATGATTCAGGATCATACTTTGATTTTACATGAACCTTGTAGTGCTTGCATATTTTTATGGCTGTGAGAGTGAATCCGGAAGACGTAAGGGATTCTGCGTCAGTTCATTCGAAATTCTTATTTTGTTAAGCTGTAAAAAAAAAAATTCTAGCCACCGCTTTCTTCGCGTTCCTTATCCGTGGGAGTGTGTCTTCCCCGACAGAAATATATTATTATTATTATGTTACCTTTCATGCTTCGGGGTATGTACCTGCCTCCAAAGGTAGTGTGGATGTTTTGAGTAATGGTGTTAGCATGTGTAGTCCTGCCATTTGGTAAAGATTCAATGGGTTATCATATACGCCAAAACTTGCATTCGGTCTAAGGGTTTTGATGGCAACGTGTATATTGCTAGGAACAAAGTTAATGGTACCAAGATTACTTTTGCTGATGCACTCGATATTAACATCTGGGGCATGAACTTTATTCTCATAGTGGGAAAACCATTTACTTAGTAGTTCATAAATGACAGTTTGGTCATAGAACGTCCCATCACTGCGCAGTACGGAAGACATTGCTTTGGAAACATTTTGGCACGATTGGACGATCTCTATCTGTATATGTGTCATAATAGAGTTTCATTAACTGTTCCCATCTGTTTGATCCGTAGTTCCAGTGTATTGGAGATAGCTCGTGCTGAACATCAATGTCTTCATTTCGAAGCTTTGGCACACATACTCGTACACGAGTTTGAGACCTCTGAATATATCGTCAACGAATCTTCGAAAAATTCACTCAGCATTTCTGATGTGAAATACATGGGTGAAAATTAGTAATCTCTGAAAGGAATGATGATAGCCATCTTATGAATGTCGTCTGCACCCATAAGAATCAGATCATGGGTTATAACCACGTGGATTCTCGAGAAGGCCGTCGCATCTTTTAAAGTAGCTAACAGGTTGTGAATGTGTGGTAAGGGATGACGACCAAACGTGATTTTCGTACTAGGCCACCAGAAATAACCAGTTGGACGCCGATAGTTGCTGTCCTTTTTATGGATCATACGCAAGGGAAATGCTTACGGGCCTTTTGATGGCCGAATGGTTTTCGGGTCCATCATGTTCTCAAATTCGTTTTTGGCCAACCTCAGCTTTCCGGGAGCTAGTCGATGCGCTTTTGAAAATACAGATGGTCCTGTAGTTGTGATGTTGCTGGTTACGCACGGAAGTTTGGTTGTATTTTGTAAATTCAAAGGCACTCGTCGAGTGTCTGTTGAGTGCGTCTATCGATTATATGTTCAATAGGGCCCGGACATAACACATAACGAAAGAATAAAGTTCTACAGAAAGATAAAATGGTATTTTCATCCACTAACCTCCGCGTTTTATTGAGTCGATTAGTAGATTATGGTGTCGTAGCAGGTCTCTGAAGTGTTATTGGGTTTGGAAAGATCACTTGTAAACATACTAGGTGTGGCGTATCCGTTGAAATCGCTCTGTGGTGCCCTCACTATTGAAGTGAATTGTGCATGCGGGTCTGTCAAACGTGCTGGTGGGAGGCAGATTTCGTATAGCAGAACCAGGTTTCAATTTTATTGTGCTAGAATGACTTGAATAGAAAGGCGAGGTATAAGAGTTTGAATCTTAAATTTTTCGGTGTCTGTTTCAATATAATGAGAACAAGATATATAAATATACGTAAACGTCTGAGAACACAAACATAATACAACGATGTGTGTTACAACAGGGAATAGATTCACAGTTTATCACTTGACATACAAGATCACCTTAAACTTACCACTAAAGATGCCATAAATATTCAGGATCTTACAATGCTTTCGTTAGTAACACTTTCAAAATTGAAGGATACAAACCAAGTCGAGACGAAAGTTAAGAGTGAAGAAGTTTGAAGATATATTTCGAAAGTTATCAATATGTTGGGAAGCATTTGATTTAAGATTGTTAGATGTTTTGATGGATGCGTAGGACGGCGTACTCAACCGCGGTTTGGTGTGAGTGTGTGACCGAAAACAACAAATAGGACGTGTCTAGAAAATTTAATGAGCTAAGCATCCCTGTCGAAGACTAGCAAAACCATTTGTTCCAGCCACATATTAGGCGCTGCAGACTAAAGGGGATAGACTGGTTTGCTATTTGAAGCTTTATTGTTGTCAGCTTCAGCTCGATTATTAAAAATAGGTCTCGCTATTTATTTATTGGGGATCTTATATAATGAGAATTTTTGAACTGACTTTTGTATCGAACACAAAGCATGGCTATATGTAATTCAATCTCTCAAACGTAGTTCTCACTGCATAGTTATGAGGATAAACAGCGAACTTTGATCATACTGATACGCATGTAATGAGAGTGATAGACATCACAGATCACCAGTCGTGAACTAAACATTTAGTATGTCCTCATCACTAGTTTGCTAAGTGAAGTGGGAATATTATGTATCCTCAGTTCCCAACAAGTCTGGAATCTGTTTGACTGAATTTAAGGCTTCTGATTGAATTCGAAAATAACTCATATACAACTCCGTGTTACGCATCAAGCAGCTGCTTCACAATATGAGAACATTCTGTGGTATTGTAGGTTCATAGTGGTTAGGAGCGGCGAAAAATCGTGTTTCCTTACGAAAATTGATGATAAATTTGGTTAATAGAAGAGTAGCAGTTCAAATACAATTTGTTGCAAGACTTTAGATACAATAAATGCCAACCTAACAGGTAGACCTCAACTGTTGTTCAAGAAGAAAGTCTCTCCCTGATAGTACTATCCTTCAGCCATTTCTTTCCAACAACTAGGATGTGTATGGCAAGTTTATTGAGGCTAGCGTCAATGTCGTAGACTCACAAAACCACATTTTTAGGTATTCATTTGTTGCTTATAAAGATACCACCAGTATTGTAGTTTGACAACACTTTACCAGTAACACCTATGATCGAATCGCGCCCACACAGTAAAATCAAAAGTCAGGAGCTAGAAGGTTGAAAGATGTATTTGATGGGTTATCAATATATCGAGAAGTGACTGGTCTAACCAGGCTAATGATCGTAGGAGATTCTCCGCACGCCGTTCTGAAACGTGATCTGGTACGGATGCATGAACGATCGCCTTCAGCTAAATGAGTCCACTAAAACTAATGTGGCTAGCATCCAATGTGGAACACTTACAGAGCTATTGATTTTGGGGATTTGTTTACAGCTACACTGAAATACAAGCTGATTCTAACTTCAAAAATAGGTTTAGAAATGTATGAAATGAGAACACTACTTGACCACCATCTTTCGATCTGAATAAATTCTTGGAATCGTATCCTGAAATGACGAAGGTATCTGGCTTCCGGAAACCTGACACAATGATATTGGATTTTGGAAATGTTGAAGACGTAAGGCGGTAATTTTGCTTGTGATGTTATTCAGGTAAGGTTTTGGTTGGATTACCGACCAACTCAATGATACAGTCTCATTCATTAAAATAACTGTTCAATAAATCGTGGTTACTTGTCTCTTAGACACTGCTAGTCCTTGAGAGTGCTCGTTATAGTAGTTTACTCCTTCCTCCATTGTTCGCTAGCTTCACCTACAAGACAAACTAGGTAACTTTGTAAGTAGTCCCCACCAAAACTATATTATTTGAACTGGTAATAATTGTCAGTGGTCTGTTTACAAAGATCTACTCCTGGCACTAAGTCATCTTGGTTATTATCTAGTATTCTGAAGTAAGTTTATTTAAATCAAGAAACTTAAGTTTCTTGGTTGTTTTGAAATAACAGGTCTACTGTAATTAGAAATGAAGGTCTCACATGCTCAAAAAAACTCATAAGTCCGAACTAATTTCATCATGATTTTCATCATCAACGATGAGACTATAATTTATGAACAAACCAATCAGATTTAAGATTGCAGATCTTGGATTTTGGCGCGAGACTCGTCCACTCGTTCAGCTAAATACAATTTAGGCTGATGTCAGTTCGTGGTGAAAACATTGAATGTAATTTTTAATCCTAACGTTCAACTGTAAATCCTAACCCCAGTTCCTCGTACTAATTTATAACCCTCATTTAACCCTGATAAGTAGATGAACATTTTCGAGGTCATTTTGACATTGCTCTAAGGTCGTCTATAAATTATAATGCCACCGAATTATGATATAAAGTTTATCGTTAAGGTTAGGAATTAGACTTCAGGTTTTCATCACAAACTGACATCAGCTACCAAGACGCTATTCATTCAAGTGAATGAGCGAATTTCGCGTCAATATTCGATTGGTTCTTCCATAAATTATAGTCTTGCTGGGAATGTCCATGCTGTATAACGTACTCATCTGATTATCACTATTTTAAGTCCTCAAGTCTTCTGGTATTTATTTTTCTCAATGAACTATGCGACCGAATTGGCTTTGTGGTCATGGTGTTCAATAATTATTCCAGACTGAATATTCAACCGAAATACAAGGGGTTTGTATGATCCTAAGAAAGACATGTCTGAATAAAGAAAGCGGCTTTTAGTTTGTTTGGACACACATTGGAATGCCTCGACCATAGATGCTACCTTGACGTGGTGGTCGGGCTTGCCTATCGTGATGACCCGACCAAGCTATATTGACTGGAACATATTTCCCTGTAGGTTCTACCATGCTAGGAAGGTCGATTAGAGGACGGTGAGTCTAATAGCAGCAAGTCAAGGTCTGTGTTCCCCTTGGACAACCAGCATCTGCAGCGATGCTGCTTTCTCACAAGTAAAGGAGTTAAATAAGGTGGACCCTAAAAATGTCACGCCTCATCTTACCTAACAAATTTCCGTCTCCGGTGGTAAGGCCCCTCTGAAGAACGGAGCTAACATGTCAAAAACCTCACACAAAAAAACCGTGCGTGACGGGCCTCAAGCAGTTGTCCCTTGGACTCTGCGGTCACGCTCCCAGGTCGTTAAGACCAACACTAATCCAACTTCCTTTTCAGGTCCCTCAAGGAATACCTTTCCATGGTGTGGACAGCCGGGAAGTGATATCAGCCCTCATGCCCGTAACAGCATACGAGAACAAGTTGGTCACATTCAAACTCTTCTTACACCTAATAAATCTCTTATCTCCACGACTAACCCTTCTCACGTTCCTTTATCACCTCGCATCGCTAGGGCAAACGATTCGAGTACACAGAACGTTATTCCTGATCTCCTGAAACCACGCTCTAAACTACATGTAGGAACTTTTAACGTCCGAAAAATGTGCCAAATAGGACAACACGCTTCCTTAGCTAGGACTTTAGAATCTTATACCATCGATGTGTGCTGCGTCTCCGAAACGCGCATATAGGATCCGAGTAGCGTCATTCATTCGACCTCACCATGTCATAATAAAGAACCAACTCGATTCATTATTTGAGTATCTGGGAGCCCCGATGCTGCTTCCTGTGGCCTCGCTGGCGTAGATATAGCATTGAGTCCTAGGGCAGAACTAGCTCTTTTAGACTGGATCACAGTAGACAGTCGTCTATGCGCTGTTCGACTAAACGGATCAGTAAGGACTCGGAAAGGTAGGGAAACTCGTCGTTGCCTCTTCGTCGTCTCTGCCTACTCTCCCACTGACTGCAGCTCAGACGATATAAAAGATGAGTTCTACAGGAAACTTTTTGACCTCCTCCGAAAAGCTAGGCGTTCTGATGTAGTAATAGCGGCAGGTGACATTGATGCTCAAGTAGGTAAACTAAGCGAAAATGAAAGATACGTAGATGGATCTTATGGTGTCGTGGTTAAAAGAACAGGTAACGGCGATTGTCTGTTGCAGCTATGCTCAGATAACCGCCTGTTTCTTGCAAATACTAACTTTAAGCACAAGAAAAAACATCTTTTGACACGGCGGCCTCCGGATTCGTCCCAACGTTGGACTCAAGTAGATCACATCGCTATCAGCCACCGATGGAGGGGCTCGATGGAAGACAGTCGCTCGTTCTGGAGCACATGATTAGATTCAGATCATGCTCTAGTGCGAGCACGTATCTGTCTGCGTCTTACTGGACATAGGAAAGACGCTGCAAGGAAGCCTCTTAGGTCTCTACTTAATGATAGGCAAGCTAAGAATATATTTCAGGAACAACTAGAAAAACAGTTAGGCAGCCTTGTAAAATGTGCCTATCTCGAGGCACCGTGGAACGACATCTGAAAAGCTGTGAAAACAGCAGTGATATCTGCCAGTACGGTAAACCATAAGGTTAGGGAGAAACACTGGATCTCAGCAGCATCTACCGCACTGATAGATGCTCGAAAACCCATCCCACCTGGCTCTGAACATAACGAAGAGCGAAGTCAACTTAAGCGCAGGCTAATAAGAAGCCTACGCGATTATCGTGAACAGTGGTGTGTAGCGAAAGCAAGAGAGATGGAAAAGGCAGCGTCAATAGGTAACAGTAGACAGCTATTCAGACTCGTTAAAGAAACCGGTATCAGGAACCCAACTGTTAGCGCAACTATCTCGGAAAAAATGGATATATTATTCATTCTCAATCCAAGAGATTGGATCTATGGACAGAACACTTTAGGGATCAGTTCAACTGGCCTTCAGCCACACTTCAGTTACCCACGATACTCAGTCGTCCTGAATGGCAAATTGATATAAGTCCTCCAACTCTCTACGAGGTTGAAAAAGCTGTAGGAATTCTAAAGTGAGGGAAAGCAGCAGGCCCTGACAGGTTTACCCCGGAGACTTTTAAGGATTGAGGTCCCGTATTAGCAGAGAGATTGACTGAGGTCTTAGGTAAAATCTGGGAACTGGACGTAATTCCATGTGACTGGTCCCAATCAGTGCCAGTCTATAAGAAAGGACAAAAGTCCTCTTGTGACAATCACAGAGGAATCCCTTTGACTAATATAGTGTCTAAAATATTAGCTTCAATAATACTTGGACGCCTAATTAAAGCTCGTGAAGAGCAGACTAGAGAAAACCAGGCTGGTTTTTGACCTGGACGTGGTTGTATATATCAGATATTCACTCTACGTCAGGTCCTGGAACATAGACACACATTCAGACGCTTATGGCTAACTGTCATCAGAATTGATTACGTCAAGTGGTGTTCGTCAGGGCTGTCCACTCTCTCCATTCTTGTTTAACTTTATCGTAGATGTGCTTTTAGAGGTAACACTTTCCTCATCTAAATCTCCAGGAGTTGAACTTCTACCAGGAGACTCACTTGTTGACTTAGGATATGCCGATGTCATAGTTCTATTCGGTGAAGACGCTGACAAGGTGCAGTCTTCTGACCACTATAAGCAACTATGCAAGCATGTTCGGGATGCGATTCTCCTCCTCGAAATGCGAAATGTTACTTCAGGATTGGGTTGCATCGACACCTGAACTAATGATCGGGAGTGAAGTAGTTCAGCGTGCCTACCACTTCACTTATCTTGGGAGTCTCATCAGCCCTTGTGGTCTGGTGTGTGACGAAATCTCAGCACGGATACAGAAGGCTCGTCTAGCTTTCACCAACTTGCGTCATTTATAGCGTTGGCGAGATATTCGTCTAGCAACCAAAGGACGGGTTTACTGTGCAGCAGTTCGTTCCGTCCTACTTTATGGCAGTGAAAGATGGCTGATAAGAGAAGGGAATATTCGTAGGCTACTAGTATTCGATCATAGGTGTCTTCGAAGCATTGCTTGTATATCCTGGGACCACCGAATAAGTAATGCAGTTGTTAGGAAATGGGTACTAGGTAAGGATGGTAAATCGATTGTTGAAATAGTGAAACCCCATCAGTTGAGATGAATGGAACACGAGTTACGTATGCCCAGCCACCGACCACCTCGACGTACGATGTTTTGTGGTGTAGGAGTAGGTTGGAGGATAGCTAGGGGCGGCCAGACCAAGAAGTGACACAAATCCATGAAGTCACTGACAAGTGGACTGAGCCATGTTGGTAGGTGTAGACTACCTGGTTGGGATCTGCGAGATGATAGCAACCGATGGTTAGAGACCTTGAATGACATGGCTCAAAATCGTTTGCAATGGCGAAGGTGCATCCACTCCTTGTGTTCTCTCAAATTCTAATGTTCTAAATTGTTCATGTCCCTTTCTTTTTTTTCTCTTCCCAAATTTATTTCACTGTATTATATTCCTTGAATAACATCTTCAAACCCCAATCTTTCGGATTACTGCTAATACTCGTTCTACTTTTACCACGATGGGGTTTGAATGGACAACTGCATCTCTGTGGTAATGTGGAATAACAACTGGAACTGATGTACGTATGTACGAAGTTCCACGTTGTGACTGACTGACTGATATTGGAATGTAAAACAGGTTGTGTTTTAACTCTACCCCAGAAAAATACTGTACACTCTGAGCCTTCTGACAGAATTCTTAATTCTAGCTCCAACTACTGGAGATACGAAACCAAAGGCCACATAGTGTTTCATTATTTCTGTAAGCTACTGTGTACGCTATATGACATGGCTCAAACAAATGACTTTTTGCGTTACGTCGTATTTTTTCATTCCCGATTTTTGTCTCAGAAAGCCATATTCAGTATGCAATCAAAAAACTGCAGGTCTATTCTTCCGGTGGTTTGAAATGGATGTTTATTGCATATTTCTGGAAATTATTTTCAGATGATACAACAACATGAACTTGGTTCAAAGCGGCACAATTGTTTAAACGAATTAACCATGCAAAGCAGACTTATGACAGATGATGAAAATAAGAATGGTAAAAAAAGTGATTGGTTCCGATTAAATTTGACAGGTAATTCGGTAATGCTCTTTTAATGAACTTCAGGTTAAACAATATATGCGTTTTTAAACTAATGTTCATAACTCGGTCACCATTATTAAACAACGCATTATCATAGCATTGTCACTGTACTCAGTTGTGGTAATCGATGTACTTAGATGATCACTTTAAATTAAAATTTTATCCTTAATATAAGTGGACAAACATTGAAAACAATATTAATTTACCAGTTTTTGCATTATGACCTGTGCTCAAGTTACGTATCTGTTAGTCAACTACAATCAATCTAGAGACCAGTACACATTTCAGTCTCAAGTCGCCATATCACATCACAGCGAGATGAAATGAACAACATAAACACCAAAGGATTCAAAATGATGGTATTATAGGTAATAGGTAGGATGTCTTAACTGGTTGGTGGCTAGCCTTCTGTTAATGTCTTTAACTCTTCGATACTTCAAAAGACTATTAAAACAACTTATCCATTTCTAATCTCATAAAGCACATGTATAATGAAATGTTTCTCCATTTAAATTTGAGGTTATGAAATATAAACGCTCGTTTTTATCGACAGTGGTTCACATTCGTTGATGCAAGCGGCAATACCAATCTATCAGTTGCATAATTTAAGTGGCAACACCACTTTGTCAGCGAGGATATGTATAAACATTCTCCATATTTAGGAACAAAAGCAATGTCGGTTTCATACAGTAAAGTCCGGCGAACTTGTAATGCATTGCCTTATTCATTAGCTTGATATATGTGTAGCATTTTACGTACATGGCTGTATAATATGTAGTATTCAACTGTAGTTATTTCAGCTATTAGCAACTATGTATTTGTAATATTGGCGATTAATGTTTAGCAGGACTCATATCCGTCCAGCCTGTTTATGGTTTTCACTGAGGACGTTTGGTCTTTCTGTCACACCAGCATGTTTAGTCAATACTTTTCAAGATTGCTTTAATTTAGATTCATAATATCTACCTTTCTGACAAATTGGTGACAGCAAATTGTTAGAAACATTTCTGAATTGCCATAATAATGATATAACTGAGAAACTGCAGTATATTTAATTCAGGATCTTGAAATAAACTTGATATACCTTCTGTTCATAGGTTGTCCAGTGGTTACGAATTTCGGTGGAGGTCCTAATTTGTGAATTCAATAATATTTCGAATTGTGTTTCTGCAGTTAACAGCATCCTTCAAAAAATCGCATTCAGTTGAATGTTGACTACTGTAGAATAAGTGAAAAGTCTCAAAAGGTTAGGTTTTTATTACTTCATATTCTAAATTACTTACCCTACCGTTGCTGTTACCTTGACGTAATGGTCGGGCTTGCCTATCGTGATGAACCAATCGAGCTATACTGGCTGGAACAATCGTTCCTCAAGGTCCTACCATGCCAAACAGGTCGGTTGAAGAGCGGTAAGACTAAAAGCAGCAAACCCAAGGTCCGAAGGTGAAGTCGTACCGCTGGCTGTACAGAGCTGTGACAGCAGTAAGGTGTTTCCTTCAGTCAACCAGCATAACAGCGATGCTGCCTTTCTACAGGGAGGGATGGGGTTAGAAAAGGTCGACCCTAAAAATGTCACGCCTCATGTTACCTCATGGATTTCCGTCTCTAGCGGTAAGGCCTTTCAAAGAACGGAGCTAACACGAAAATAACCCACAATAAGGTCGTGTGTGACCGACCTCAAGCAGTTGTCAGTTGCGGTCACACTTTCAGATCATTAAGACCACTACTAACCCAATTTCCTTTTCAGGCACCCCTAGAAGAACCCTTCCACTGTGTGAGCAGCTGGGAAGTGATAACTGCCCTCATACCTCTAACAGCACTCAAGATCACTGTATTCATAATCAATCTTTTTCTTCAATCCCTATTACTCCTCCCACCTCGACTTTGAACACTAAACTTCCTCTTTCGGCCTCCTCCTCAAGTGTCACCATGGCTAACGATTCTAGTGCACGAAACACTGTCACATGTCTACTAAAACCTCGCTCCAAACTACACAATGGAGCCTTCAGCGTATGTACTCTATGTCAAATCGGCCAACAGGCCTCCTTGGCTAAGACCCTAGAATCTCGTACCATCGATGTATGCTGTGTCTCCAAAACACGCATACAGGATCCCAGTGTGGTCATTCACTTGACCTCACCTCGCCAAAACGGGGTGCTGACGAGACACACCCTCCGTGTATCTGGCGATTTTATGGCTAGTTCTCGTGGACTTGCAGGTGTAGGCATAGCACTTAGCACAAGGACAGAACAAGCACTATTAAAATGGATTCCCGTTAACAGTCGCCTATATGCTGTCCGGCTGAATGGCTCCGTAAGAACTCGTAGGGATAGGGACGCACGTCGTTGCCTTTTTGTCGTTTCTGCCTACGCTCCCACTGACTGCAGCGCGGATGAAGTGAAAGATGACTTTTAAAGAAAGCTATCTAACCTTCAAAGAGCTAAACGCTCAGACGTAGTACTCGTAGCGGGTGACTTTAATGCCCAAGTAGGTAGCTTGAACCAAACAGAAAGATATTTAAATGGGTATTTTAGTATTCCGATTCAGCTAACAGATAATGGTGAACGTCTGTTGCAACTATGCTCAGACAATCGTTTATTTTTAGCAAGCACTAATTTTAAGCATAAGGAGAGTCATCTTCTAACATGGCGACCACCTGCACCAAACCGACGGTGGACTCAAATAGACCATATTGCCATCGGTCATTGTTGGGAAGACTCAATAGAAGATTGTCGCTCGTACTGGAATACTTGTTTAGACTCTGATCACACTTTAATACGAGTACGCATTTGTCTGCGCCTCACTGAACTCAGAAAAACTACACTAAGAAGACCCGTTAGGATTGAACTGGAGGACGAGAAAGCGAAAAGTAAGTTCCGGGAAACACTAAGTTCACATCTAGACAGTTCTGTAAACGAGACTGACCCAGATGTTGCATGTAAAGATATACAAACAGCTGTCAAAACAGCAGCGATATCCATTAGTGATTTTGAACCAAGGGGTTACGAAAACCCACTGGATTTCTGCAACATCTATTGCAGTCTGATAGACTCTCGTAAACTCATCCTATCAGGCTCCGAACACGATGGAGAGCGAAGAAAAATCAGATCTAGGTTAACCAAAAGTATGAGGAGTGACCGTGAGCAGTGGTGAGCAATGAAAGCAAAAGAGACGAAAAAGGCAGCGGCTGTAGGTAACATGAGACAACTTCTCAGACTAATAAGAGAAACCGCAATTAAGAAGTCAAGTGTAAGTGAGAAAATTTCGGAAAAAACACTACTCTTATGTTCCCTCAGTCCAGACGTTTAGGACGATGGGCGGAACACTTTAAGGAGTGATTCAGCTGGCTTTCAGCTACTGTACAACTACCCACTATTCCCAGAAAACCTGAATGGAACATTTGAATTAATTCCCCCGACTCTAGCTGAAGTTCAAAAGGCTATAGCTGAACTGAAATGTACAACCAGAAGACTCTTTCAGTTAAGAAAGTTATAACCACTCTTTATGTAGAAAGTAAAAGAAAGTTACAGCAGGCTCGCCACTGGCTTCTATTCTGAGCCATATATGATAACGTCTCTAGCCACTGTGTTGCACCATCTCTCGAACCCCAGCCAGGGAGTCGTAAACGACCAACAGAAGCCAGCCCTTTGTAGCTTTCTTTCACACCACGACACCATGTCATACACTGACCACCTCTCCGCCTTTTACAACCAGTCCCAGAGTCGGCAAATAATGCGCGACGTGGACTTCTCTGAGACGACATTCGTAGAACATGTCCAATCTACTGAAGTCGATGTTTCGAGGTGGTGACACCAATTGAATTATCGTCTCTGTGCCCGAACACATCGCCATTACTTATATCCATCAGAGCTGTTTCCAGAATGTCATCGATGGCAAAGTTGAAGAGGAATGGTGAAATTGATCGACCCTGTCGGAAGAGCTTCCGGCGGTTACCAGACACAGCTGCTGCTTCCATCTCATTAGCACGCTCCGACCACCTAGCTTTGCCCGATTTCGTTACGTAATAGCCTTCGTTTGTGGTCAAACTCATGTTCGCCCGGAGTAGACTGATGGGCTTCAATCAGTTGTAAGGAGCCAGAAGAAACCCAGTGCTTATAAGCGGGACGTTTCGCGAATCCGCAAGCGACTTTACTCGCCATTTTCATGGCGCCATGCAATCGCAACCAATGCTCATCTATACTTTTCGGTGGGGTGGTAGCTAGCCTTGAATGTAGCTCAGTTTGATACTTACTTGCAACAGAATTTGCAACCAATTTACTAAGATCAATCCGTTGATGACGGTAAATTTGTCGGCCACTGAAAAGTAAGGTAAGATTGGCGTAGACCAGGGCATGATCAGAGTCCAGATAGATGCTCACAAAGGAGCGGCAGTCTTGTACACAGCCACGCCAGCGGTAGCTTTTCGCAATGTGATTAACCTGAGTCCAGGTATGAGATGCAGAGGGAGGATGCTAGCTGGCACATCGGCGATGACTGTACCGGAAGTTAGTGCTAGTCAGAAACAGGTTGTGGGCTGTGCACAGTTGCAGTAGACAGTCTCCTTTATCGGTCCTGTGACCAACAATTCCCCGTCGGCCACCTAAACGACTCTCTTCTGTGCCTAGATGCCCGACCTGTGCATTCAAGTCTCCAGCTAGTACTACAATATCTGTCGAACGCACTTTCTGGAGAACTGTTAACTGATGGTAAAACTCATCCTTGATTGCATCCGGGCTGCAATCTGTCGGGGCATAGGCGGAGATGACGAAAAGACACCGTTTCTCACGCCGATTTCTTCTCACTTTGATGGAACTTTCTAATCTAACAGCACATAACCGACTATTAAAGGAGATCCAATCGATTAGTGCTGTCTCAGCCCTAGCGCTTAGTGCAACGCCAACAAGACCAGACGAAGATGCTACAGGGTCTCCGGATAAACGCACACGAAACAAGCTTTTCGAAGCGACAAATGGATAGCGAATTTGTAGTAC